GGCTGTTTTCGCAGCTTCCGCAAGCCCTCTAGGCTCAAATTCTCCACTCTTTCGGAAACCTATGGCGCTGTCTTCGCCCCCCCCCCATCCCACGAAGTCCACGATCCAAAAAGGGTGGGGCGGCAGTGGTGGGCGCAAAAAACCGAATTCTTCTTCTAGGATTCGAACACCCGTCCTCTCGCGCTATTTTTTGCGCGTTCAAACGACTGCCCCTGACTTTTCGTGGGCGCAAAAAACCGAATTCTTCTTCTGGAATTCGAACACCCGTCCTCTGTCTGCCCCCTCAGGGGCGTTCAATTAAATAACCGACGTATTGTCTTGTCAGTGCGCTGGAGGTCTGGGCGGGTCGGCGGTCTTCGGGGCCGCGCTCGGGCCTCCCGCGGCTGCTCGGGACGCCCCCCTGGCGAGGCGCGGCTGCCGGATGGCGTCCCGAGGCCGGAAGCCCTGCCGTCCCCCGATCTATTTTTTTGGAGTCCGCTGTCCCCAGAACTCCCGTTTTTTTTTTTTTGTTTCTTCCAAAATGTGCCCAAAGCTCCCGACTGACTCCCCCGCAGTCAACCCGCGTAAGAAGGACGCACGATAAGGGTGCAGGGCCCTCGGAAGGCCATGCCGACACTTTGCGAGCGGGGTGCGGCCAGCGAAAAAGCGGTCAAGGGTGGGCCGAAGAAGAGGAAGACTGCAAGGGCAACCTTGGAAAGTTGCTCCTCCTGGCGATGCGGGTTGGCTGTAGTCTTCCCTCTGGGATTCATTTTTCATGGTTCCAGGGCCCCCAAAACGAGCTTCAGCGGCCGAGGTCCGTGAAAACCGTTGAGACCGAAAAAATCAAATATCGTCTGAGATCTGGGACGCCCGAAAAGCCTCGGCGGAGGAGCGCTCGTCCCGACTTGGTTCCGGGCAAAGGGGGTCTTTCGTAATGGGGTCGCAGAAAAATCAATAGTTCATCCTGCAGCTCATGGCGCGTGACCCCTTCCACGGACCAGCGATGTCGAGTGCAGCGCATCCTGCCGACGTCCAGCACGAGCCAGCACGAACGGTTGCGCGAACTAGTGAGTGCACTCCGAGACCTCCTCCGCAGAGGACCCCTTCGCCCGAATCTGACCAAAACCCCCGGCGCCAGGGAGGAGGAGGAGGAGGAAGGGAGGAGGAGGAGGAGGAGGAGGAGGAGGAGGCGGAGGAGGAGGAGGAGGAGGAGGAAGAGGAGGAGGAGGCCCCGCAGCGGGGCAGAGGCCGGCTCTGGCCTGGGCCACGGCGGCATCGCGAGGAGCCCGCGGCGCGCGCCCCCGCCGCCCGCCCCCGCCGCCCCCGCGGGGAGGGCCAGAGCCCGTCCGCCCCCTCTGAGCCTCCGCGGCCCGGCTTTCCCGCTCCCGCGCCCTCCTCATCACCCTCCTCCCCCGCCTCCTCCTCCCCCTCCTCCTCCTCCCCTCCTGTTCCTCCTCCTCCTCCTCCTCCTCCTCCTCCTCTCCTCCTCCTCCCCCCTCCTCCTCCTCCTCTCCTCCCTCCTCCTCCTCCTCCTCCTCCTCCTCCTCCTCCCTCCTCCCCCTCCTCCTCCTCCTCCTCCTCTCCTCCTCCTCCTCCTCTTCCTCCTCCTCCTCCTCCTCCTCGCCTCACCCACCTTGTCGGGGGCTACTAGAGGTGCCCCCGGCCCAAAAAGCTGGGGGCACCTGGTGCCCCCAGCTTTTTGCTCAAGTGGGGCGCCCCCCCGGGGCCTCCTGAGCCTCGGGAAGGGTGCTCTGGAGGCCGTGGGGGCCTCCTTGGAGATCCTGGGGGCACCTTGGGCCAGGGGCACTTCTGGCAGCACCAGGCCCTGGTCCTTCGGCCAGTTTCTGTTGTTTGTATAACTCGGACCAGGCGGTCCTTCAGCTCCACGGAGCCACTGCCGCTCCTTGCCCGACCTACCCGCCAGCACCCAGGGAGCCACCGAGAAGGAGGAGGAGGAAAAGGAGGAGGAGGAGGAGAAGGAGGAGGAGGAGGAGGAGGGGGAGGAGGAGAAGAATAAGGAGGAGCAGGAGGACGAGGAGGGGGAGGAGGAGGCGGAGGATGATGAGACGGGGGCGCAGGCTTCGTGCGGGCCGGTGTCTTCAGCCCCAGCGTTTTTCCTTTTCTTTCGGCCACCAGGGGCCGTCCTCGGGCTCCATGGCCCCAGGACAAAAAGCTGCACGCGAACGGGATGAGGGCGAGGGTCGGAGGAGGAGGAGGAGAAGGAGGAGGAGGAGGAGGAGGAGGACTAGAGTAAACTCAAAACGTATCTGCGATGTTGCATAACACCTTCTTTCTAAATTTCTTTTCATAGCTCCCTACAAGACTGCATTTCCCCTGCGGGAGGTGGCCCATCAGAAGACACATGTTAGATAATCGTCAATCGTGCCAAAACGCCAGTCCTGGGAATTCAGCGCCGCGAATCAATATGACTGTTGCGTCCTGAATCCCTGGACCGTGCCAGAACACCTTTCCTAGGACTTCAACACCGCGAATCAACGTGACTGTTGCGTCCTGGCCATCCTAGATCGTGCCAGATCCCAATTCCTGGAACTTCAACCGCACGCATCTTTGCAACGGTTGCGAACTTCTAATACGAAGGTGTGATGCGCTGAAGCGAGAGCCATATCTTGAAAACGATCCGCCCTCCATCCTTGAAGCGGTTGCACACTTGTGAAACGAATGTGCGCGGCGCGAAGAATAGAACCACATTTTGAAAACTGCCCGCCCTGCGTCCTTGAAGCTATTGAAACTGTTGCGAACTTCTGCAGCGACTGTGCGCCGCGAGAAGGCGAGAACCACATTTTGAAAACGGCTCGCCCTCCATCCGTGAAACTGTTGCAGATTTCAAGCTTCAGGATTGTGACTGGTTAGAGCGTCTCAGGCGAAACGCCCGACCCGCCCTACCAACACGTCTGGGGGTGCGCCAGGGAGGAATTATCTATCACCCACCGTGCCGATGGGCACGGAGTGGGCATGTCCTCGGGTCCTTTGCCCAATTCCCTGAGACTCAGTCCTCGGTCCTGACAAGTTTTTGCAAGGCCCGGAGCCCAAATTCTCAAATCTTCTTGGGCTTCCCACGGTTTCCCTGGGGCTTGCAGCGTCTTGTCGCGTGACTTTTTCGGACCCAAGAGAGCAGTACTACGACTGGCCAAAAGGGCTCCCAAAGGCCCCCAAGACGGTCCAAAAGCTCCCCGAGTCGTCGAACCCTCCTCCTCCTCCTCCTCCTCCTCCTCCTCCTCCTCCTCTTCCTCCTCCTCCTCCTCCTCCTCCTCCTCCTCCTCCTCCTCCCCAAGAGGGCCACGAGAGACCCCAATCACTGATCCCCTGCGGTTTCTCATTGATTTTTGCGTTCACGCCTCTTCGGGCTCTCGGCGCTCCAAGGAGGCGGGTGAGGGAGGAAACCGAGACGAAGGGGGGAGTTGGCGGTGGACGAACCTCCCTCTGGTAAACCAACCTTTTTCAATGAAAACGGCCCAGGACCGAAACCGACGGACCTGGACCCGCAAAAGTGACGGCCGCGACGCCCTCTCGCGAGCCGAAACCGGCCGATTCGCCAATCGACGTGTCATGGTAGGAGGTCCATCAACCTCCGAGGGAGGAGGGCGGCAAAAGCGTTAGGTCGGGCCTGTCCCCCTACAGGGGGATTTTGAGCGAAAAATGACACATGGTCAAACAAATACTCCAAACATGCGGAACAAATCGAACCATCGTCCCCAGAAGATTTTTGACAATATGGTTTTCGCATGGTTTTCGTATGGTATTCTTTTGGTTTTCGCATGGTTTTCGTCTGGTAATCCATGGTTTGCGCATTGCTTTCGCATGGTAATCGTATGGTTTTCGTATGGTAATCTTGTGGTTTTCGTGTGGCAATCGTGTGGTCTCCGCATGGTAATCGCAAGGCCGAAGTCATTGATTCTTCTTTGGTTTTTGTAAGATGTTGTGGCGTTCTCGCCTTTTCGGCTTCCCGACGCTCCCAGACGGCCCCAGAGGCTCCCAAGGTCGCCCCAAGACGGTGCAAGAGGCCTCCAAGATCTCCCCAAGACGGCCCAAAAGGGCCCTAAGACAGCCCAAGAGGCGGCCCAAGAGGGCCCCAAGACGCCCCGAAAGGGGTCCCAAAGAGGGAGCACGAACCGAAAATCTGGGCCTTCCGCCTCAAGAGGCCCCCAGGAGGCCCCAAGAGGCGCCCAGGAAGCCCTCTGAGGTCCCAAGAGGCAGGAAGCCCTCTGAGGCCCCGCGGAAAAAGTGGTTTCCGTGCCTCCTGACGGCCGTCTCGCCAGGGACATCCTCAAACTATCGCGATCTTGGGGTCCAGATGGCCCAAGGTGGCCTCCAAGACGGCCCAATAGGGTCCAAGATGGCTCCGAGTCCGCCCAAGAAGCCTCCAAGATGGCCCAAGAGGCCCCAAGAGGCGTCCAAGACGGCCCAAGAGGCCTCCAAGGGGTCCTCTAGGAGGGCCCGAAGAGGCCCAACTCATTGATTTCCCTTAGGTGCTTGCAGAGGATTTTGACACAAGCATCTTTTCGGTCTTCCGACGGCCCAAGACGGCCCAAGAGGGCCCCAAGATCGCCCCAAGATGGCCCCAGAGGCCTCCAAGATGGCCCCGAAGCGTGAACGGCCCCGAAGCGTCCCAAGGGGCCCCAAGTCGATCCAGACAGGCCTCCGAGACGGCTGCCGACGGCGTCAGACGGGCCAGGAACGCCCTAAGACGGCCAAGGAGGCCGGCCACCAAGAAGCCCCCAAAGGCCCCCAAGGGGCCCAAGGAGGCTTCCAAGAGGCCTCCGAGAGGCCCACAAGAAGCTCCCAGAAGGCCTCAAGAGTCCTCCTCCTCCTACTCCTCCTCCTCCTCCTCTTCAGCCCACACGGGCGATTCCAAAAGGCAGGGGGCGGCGGTGATTCGCCGTAGGCGTCTTCGGTAAGGAAAAATGATGGAGGAGGAGGTGGAGGAGGAGGAGGAGGAGGAGAAGGAGGAGGAGGAGGAGGAGGAGGAGGAGGAGGAGGAGGAAGGATGATCGACTCTCCACCGCGTGGAGACGTGCACGCCCGCAGCGGCGGCGGCGGCGACAGGGGCGAGGCCCCCAAACCCTGCGCCGCAGCCGCGCCGCGCCCGCGCCACGCCTGCGCCTGGCAGGCGCAAAACACCGCGGAGGGGCTGCGTCGGCTCGCCTTCGTGGAGCGCCTCGGCGGGACGGCCCCGCGGCGCCGCCAGGATGGGGCAGCGTGCGAGGGGGCGGCCTCCAGGGGCGGCGGGCCCAGGGCGCGGTGGGAGGAGGAGGAAGAGGAGGAGGAGGAGGAGGAGGAGGAGGGAGGAGGAGGGAGGAGGAGGAGGAGGAGGAGGAGGAGGAGGAGGAGGAGGAGGAGGGAGGAGGAGGAGGAGGAGGAGGAGGAGGAGGAGGAGGAGGAGGAGGAGGCAGGTAAATCTTCCTGCAACACGGCCGCTCTGGCCGCCCGTACGGCCTCCACGGGGGAAGCACAAGGCTGGAGCCCGGGGGCAGGAGTTACGATCGATTACGCTCTTGGGGCAGGTCTGGAGCGCTTCGAATCTACTGCAGGGGCCCAGGCCCCGCAAGTCCAGGCGCTCCTGGGAACTCCTGAGGGTCGCAGCGCGACTTTTCCAGATGCCTCGGGAGCGTGGTGGGAATTTCACCCATTCGACATGGTTTAAGGTTGCCCCAGGGCTACAACCATTGACCAAGCACAAGTGATTCAATGATGTTACCTGGTTCAATGATGTTAGCCTTCTCCCCCGTTTCGGTCTCAAGAACACCCACGACGGCCCAGGAGGCACTCAAGATAGCCCCAAGACGGCCTCCAAGAGGGGGAGCGCGAACTGACATCGGGAGCCCTGGACCTCGAGATGGCCTTCGAGACTGCGTGAGGGCGCCAGATGCCTCCAGGAGTTCCCCGATGAGCCCCAAAGAGGCCTCCCAAATATCCCCCAAAGGCCTCCCATGAGACTCCAGTGGGCGTCTGAGGGGCTCTTGGTCCACAACCCAAGCACGGTGATGGGTTGGGCCGACGGCCACCAAACAAGTCACCCCAACTTGTACCGGCAGCTGGCTGGACGACGCGCCGTGGAACGAACTCATCATGGGGCCGGAGGGCGCTAACGCCAACCACGTCGAGGATGCCACCGCCGTCATGCCGAGACGCGCCGCTCAGAATGTGCCACGCCTGCGGCACGCGGGTCGCCCTCGGCGCGGCCCCGCCGGCCACGAGCCGCAGAGACCTGCTGTCTGCCTCGAGCAGGGCCGACGACACCGTGTGCGCCGCGCACGGCGTGATGGAACGGCACGGTCTCCGCCGAGACCCGCCGCCACCCGGCGCACCGCTGGACTGCCGACGAGGCGCGACGCCCAAAGATAAAACGACATTCGGGGGGTGGGGGCACGGTCTGTACTCTCTTGTCCTCGCCTGCATGTGCGCGACCGTGTTGGGCATCGCTTCGCTCTTCGCGTTTTGTGGCCGCAGCCGTCTGGGGGCGGGGCGCGTCCTCTTTGAGCCAGCCCCGAAGCGTGAAACGCAGGGATCCCCGCTAGAAACCGCGTGCGGCTGGCCTGCCGACGGGGCGCGACGCCCAGCCTGGCAGCTTGCCGACCGCCTGGGGCAAAGACGAGGGCCCGACAATTCCCCCTTCTCCTCGCTTGGTCCCTGGTCGTGCACTAGCAGAGCAACAAGAACTGCATGCACATAGACTCCCAAAGGTCCGCGCGGACTTCCGGGGTCGGCGCTGCACCGCCCTCCACTGGCGCGCGGAGCCGACCGAGAGAAACCAGCGCGGACCTCGTAAAATTGGTGCTTTACGCCGTGCTTTGTTTTGCGATTCACACCTCCTGTCACCCCCTCCCCCTTCCTCTGAGTAGTCTCCAGGGAACGACATCCTGGCGTGCAGTGGGCTCGTGAAAGGTATGTCGATATTTCAGTGGTTTTGTAATGGTTTTCTGGTGGCTCCAGGCGCTGGTGGTCTAAAACCCATAAGAGCCCGTTGCTGCTAAAACTAGAGCCGATCCCATGCGTCATAACATTGGAAGCTTAAGCATGTAGAACCCCAGGGTCCAATAGTAAAGACACCGTTCAGGTAGCCTTCCTCTGGCATGCCGCGCCGAGCGCCACCGAGGCGACCTCGGGCACTCCACGCCGCGGCGGCCGCTGCACGCCCGAGCGGACACGCCGCAGGCCAGGCGCGCCGCGCTCTTGACAAGCAGCCGCTGCTGCTGCTCATGCCGCGTTTGCGATGGCGGGACATAAAACGACGCGAAGATCGGGACAAAATCGGATCGGGATAACTCGAAATCTCTGAGAATCGGCGGGTTTGGAGGATGTATTGGGCGCCGCGGGCTCTCCAGAGCGCTCCTGTCGATGGTTTTTACTTGGACCAAGGGGCTACAGATTAGCATGTACAGTCAACACGCCTCCAAGATGCAGGCGAGCGCATCGCCTTGCATCTTCTCTGTACTGCGGCTCGAGCCTCCCTTCTGAAGGCTCAAGCTCAAGCCAAAGCGGGCGTCCCCGCCGTGGCTCCGCGCGCCTGCGCCTGACGCGCGCCCTCGGCTCAAAGGAGCGGCCTCTGGCCGCGCCCTCACCCGTCTTGGGTGGCCCTCAAAGGGTCTTGCATTCGGCACGGACCTACCCCGTGCTGCTGAGAAGCGCGCCTAGGTGCGAGCCTAAACTCGCATCCGAGCGGAACGCTCGGATAGGCATCCTGCCTGGAACCAGCCGCGCGGCCCATGCCGCTGCAGCCAGCCCCTCACTGCTGGCCATGTGCTGGCCGCCGTCCCTCGTCAGACGGACGATGAGGTCCGCCTTCAAGCCGCCCACTGGCAGCTTCCGCCACCTGAGCTCCTCCTTGAGCTCTGCCACGGTGGCCTCAGCCAGCATCTTCCCGAGGTACTCCGTACCGAGGTCTCGCCCTTCGGCGACCCGCTCAGGCGCAGCTATAGCCGCTGCCCGAGAAACGACATGCCCCTCAGGCGCGTCCTTCGACGCCGCCTCGGGCCTCGCCGTGCCGTCGGCCCGCGGGGCAGCCCTCGCCGCTCCCGCTGGTGGGGCAGCACTCGCCGCCCTCGATGAGAAGAGCTGCACCGCCCCTCTCGTGCACACAACTGCGCCCTTGACCACGAGCACCAGCACGATGATGAACATGATCATAGCGAGAACGATCGAGCCGATGTTCGACTCGACCTCGTCGTCGGCGGCTGCGGAGCACTGCTTGTCTCCATGCTCGGCCGCCTCTGCGAAAGTGACGCCCACACCTGCGGCGAGCCCCTTGGTCAGAAGCCGCAGGTTGGACATCTCCAGCAACTTGAGCACCCGCTTGCCGTCCAGATGCTTGGTCCCCAAGTCGCTCCTGTTGCTCTCCGTGTCGACCCGCCCGAGCTGTAACTCGCCGAGCCTGACTCGTTCCTGCACCCACAGGTCTCGTATCTGTAGATGCCGTACTTTACCACTGCCGATCCGTGTCGCGATCGCCCTGCCTGCATTCGAGTCGCTGTGAACCTTCGACGCGACCTCGATGCCACACTGCTGGTAGAACTGCCGCATCATGATCGCACTCGCCGCGCCTCGGCCGATGGCGTAGAACTCGGCCTCTCCGCTGCTGAGCGCGACGACGGGCTGCGATGCCACCTGGGTCTCCAGAAGGTGGCTGCCAAAGAAGCCGTATACGGAGCTGGTCGATTTCCTCGTGATCTCATCCTCTGCCCAGTCCGAATCCGTCTCGTAGAGAACCTCCTTGGGCATCTCCTGCTTCTCGTAGAACCACCCGAGCTCGCGCCGACCGTGGAGATACCGCACGCACCGCCTCAGCCTAAGCATGCTGATGACTGTGGGCTTCCCCATGTCTGTGAGGATCACCTTCACCGCGAACTGGATGTCTGGCCTGTCTACCGCCACGTAGTTGACGAGCCCCGCGACTTGCTGGTAGAGCTTCGCCTCGTCGTGTGGAAGTGGGTCCAGCGCCTCCCGGACGCTCTTGCCCGTGGCCTTGCTCCCAGGCGTGTCCGCTGGCTTGCACTCCGTAAGGCCCAGCAGCTCCACGCACCTCGTCACGTGCTTCGTGTCGCCGATCCAGACGAACCCCTTGCCCGTCCACCTGATCTTGCGCTTGAGGTACGGGAGCTCACGGACGCCATCCGGTCCGACACGACCGATGCACTTGACGTCCATGCTCGCCATCAGCTGCTGGTCCAGGACATCCAGGGACTCCTCCTCGCCCTCGGTCAGGATGTCGTCACCGTGAATCGCCGAGGTCATGTCCAAGAGAGGCTCGTGGTACACGCCCGCCGCCACCGCGATGCGCGTCCAGTTGTTCTTCTTGAACACCCCGGCCACGTACTCCTGCCAAGCCTGTGCCGCCTTGCGTGTGCCGTACATGGCCTTCCGGAGCTGCCACACGTACCCGTCTCTCCTGAGTCCTGGAGGCGGGATGACGACGATCCACTCGTCGAGGTCGGCGTGGAAGAACGCCACGTGTACGTCATGCACCGAGAGATGCCTCCGACCCTTCTTCGTCGCCGCCAAGGAGACGATCGCCCTGACGATGGCGATCGGCGGCGTGCCCGCGTTGCAGTCCTCTCGGCCGTACGTGTTGATCTCCATGGCGACGCCTCGGGACCGGACAAAGGGGGTGCCGTCCTTGGTGCGCAGGTCCTCGACCCACTTGAAACGCACCACCTTGCCCCGGCTCTCGGCCACGCGGACCTCCTCGAAGACGCCGTGTCGCCGCATCTCCTCGATCTCGGCCTCGCGCCCGCGCCTGACCAGGTCCCTGGGGAGCTCCTTCCCGCTCCTCGCGTCGTACACGTGCTTCTCCGTGTCTGGCAGGACCGTGATCGCCGACGGCTCGACGGGGCTGACCTCGAACATCCCAATCTCCAACGGCTCGCAGCTCTCGATTTCCGTGACCGTCTCGAGCTCCTCGTGGGACTGCTGGTCCAGGCCCTCGTACGTGCAGGGGTTGATCTCCACGAAGGCCCCGACCGCGAGCGACCCGACTGTGATCGCCGCTGTCTGGCGCGGCCTCTTCGCCGACGCCTCGCCCTGGTCGTCGCGAGGTGCCATGCTGGCGTCCCCGGACGATCCTGGCCTGCCGTCTCCAGCTCCAGCCGCTGGCCCCGGCGCGGCTCCCGCCGCCGCCGGCGTCGGCGCAGCCCCCGCCGCTGCCGACGAGGGCGCGGCCTCCGCCGCTGCCCTGGCCATTTCCTCCTTGCGCAGCTCGTTCTCGATCCTCTTCCGGCACTCCTCGCTGTGCGATCCCATGCCTGTGACGCACCTCGGGCACATGGGAGTCCAACCGTACTTGTCGATCAACGCCCTCGTGATGTACGTCGACCTCAGCCCTGCGCCTCCTGGCCCCGCGGGCGGCGCCGGCCCGACCATCGCTGGTGGCACCAGCGCCTCCGGGCCCGCAGCCGGTAAGGACACCGGCGGTGGTGGAGGTGGCGGCATCAGCCGCTGCTGGTTCGGCTCCACCTGGGGCGCTCCCGTCGGCACGATGCCGATCTGTGGAGCCCGGTGCATGTCCCACGGCGCCCCAGCGAACTTGTCCAGCTCCTCCAGCACGAACCGCTCGCCCTCCGGTCGCCGTCTCACCGTGCGTACCCTTGTCGTGCGCGTCGGACCCGCCACCAGGTGCTCGTCCGAAACCTCTGTCTTGCCCAGCCACACCGCCGCGTGCCACCGAGGCTGCAGCTTGGAGGTCGGCGTGGGGTCCCTCGCCCAAACGCACTCCGCGAAGTTGACGAGCTCGCCCCGATATGGCCTCCCCTTGAGCACCTCGTAGGTCGTCTTGCCGTTGCCGTGCACCGTGAAGCGGTTGAGCTGCCAGCCAGCGTGCCGAATGAGCCAAGGCAGAAGCCCATGCTCGGCTGGGAGCTCCCGCTTGTAGTTGTCACCCACCGAGAACAGTAGCGCCCTGATCTGCTTGCCGAGCTCCTCGTTGGCGCGCTCCACTCCACCAACTCCCTGATGGTTAGCCCGCTGAGCCGACTCGATCATCGTGGGCGCCTTCCGCTGAGCCTTGATCTCCCTCGCCAGGGCCGTGATCGACGCCTCCTGGTCGTGCTTCAGCACGATGCGATCCAGCCCCCAGTTCTCGATGGTGGCGACCGCTGTCTTGACCATGTAGGCGTCGGTACCCTTCGGCCCCATGATGCCATGAATAGCCTGGGAGTTCATATGCACCATGTTGAGGATGCTCAGCTGGCCCAGGAAGTAGTAGTCGATCTGGACCTCGTCGCCTGTGCGCTCGTGCCCGTCCTTGTAGTGCGGGTCGTCCGTGAACTTGGATCTGACGCACACCCAACACCAGGACCTCGCAGGGATGTGCACCAGCTCGTGCGTCCTCTGCTCGGCCAGGCTTGGCTTCACTGGATCCTTCTTGACTCGAACTGGCACGGACTCCTCGAGCACTGCCTGCGCTGCTGGCTCGCTCGCCTCGGCCTGAGCGCGAGTCGCGGCAGCCCCTCCGCCGCCGCCGCCCTGGAGCGCGGCCCTCGCCGCTGCCCTGGACGCAGCTGATGCGCCGCCAGGCTCGCCTCCTGGCTCCTCGCCCCGCACCGGCATGACGAGCGAGTTCTTGACGCCTTCACCGTACCTGTCCATCTTGAGGTAGAACAAGTCGTTGCGTCTGACCAGCGGCACGGCGTCTGGGTCCGAGAACTCGATCGGCTTCGGGATCATGTAGCTCCCGCTCGGCGTGAATACCCACGACGTGCCCTTGTCGACCGCCTGCGACACGCCCAGCACCGGCCTCTTGACGTCGGCGACCTTGTAGTCCACCCCGATCTTGTGCCCGCCCTTCGCGTACGTGACGAAGCGCTCGCCGTGGCACGGGATGTCGTCGCCGCTCGCTCCGACCAGCCTGATGCGCTCGCTCAGGTCTCTGAGTGTCTCGTGGGCCCCGTGACTCGGCGGACACACCGATCGCGCAGCACCCGAATCCACCATGACCCAGTGCTCATTGATACCGACGATCTCCTTGCTCTCGAACGTCTCGTGCCCGTTTGCTGCCCCTGGCTGACTCAGCTGCTCGATCGGGCTGGCCCCGACCAAGAATGGCTGCCTCGGCTGCGCGTGCTCGTTTGACGCCTCTGGCGGGCTCAGCCGCTCGATCGGGCTGGCTCCGACCAAGGATGGCCGCCTCGGCTGCGCGTGCTCGTCTGACGGCCCGCTCGAACGACGGTGGATCGCTGTCGTTGCTGGTGCTGAGGGCGTCGCTGCTGCTCCACTCGATGATGATTCTTGCCCTTCTCCCAGCTCGATCGCGAGGCACCACAATGGCTCTGCCCCGCTCTCGGTTGCGATCGCCATCACTGGCGCCGCGCTCCCCGCGGCGCTCGCCGCTGGTGGAGCCCCCGTCGGCTTCGACTCCTGCTCGACTGCGTTGGTGCCCTTCTTCTTCTTCTGCTCTGCGAGGAACTTCCTGCACTCGCTCTTGACGTGACCTGTCTTGTGGCAGTGGAAGCATCGTTTCTCGGCCCTGTCCTTGGCCGCCTGGCTCTTCTGGTCCGTGGAGTTGTCGCCGCCCTTGCCCTTCCTGCCCTTGCCTTCCTTGCCCTTCTTTCCTTTGCCCTTCCACGCCGCCTCGCGCCTCGCCTTCTCCACCGCGCTCGTGTCCATCGGAACTGGTGGCGGCACTGCTGAGATGGCGCTCCTCGTCGAGATCACCATGTGCACTTCGTTGCGCATGAGCTCCCACGTGACTAGCCTCGACGCGTTGTGGACCAGGTGCGCTCGAAGAGCCTCGTCCTGAATCCCCCGCTGAAGGATCGCCATCTTGATCCTGTCCCCAATCCTCTCGTGGCTCTGGCTCTCGTACTTCGTGACTTTGAAGTCGAAGTCCGCCAGCATCCCCACGATGTTGTCCTCTGGGAACTGGAACGCGATCAGCTCTTGCAGCAGTCCTGCATGGCGACCTGGTCTGTCGGGCTCGTACATGTCTTGCAACGTCCTCCACGCCCGATACCCTTCTCCGACGCCGACTGGCTTGATGAGCTGTAGTGCGGCTCCTTCCAGCAGCAGGACGAGGATGAAGTACAGCTGGCGACTGCGCTGACTCGCTCCCTCCTCCAGGAGTCTCGCGTTCCTCACTTCCTCCAGCGGGAACGTCATGGCCGCCGTCAGCTCGTTGGCCATCTGCTCGTCGAGAGCTCCGAGGTATGCGAGCATCTTGAAGCTCCACCCTGGCCACTCGTCCTCGTTGCCTCCGAACGCCTTCGGCTTCGCCAGAAGCCGAGTGTCCACCAGATCCTGAGGCGCGGCCCTCGCCGCTGCCGCGGGCCTGCTCGCGGCGGCGCCTGCGCTCGCTGCTGCTGACTCCGCCGCCAGGGCGCGCTCCTCTGCAGCCTGCACCCGTTGTTCTGCAGCCTGCAACGCTCCCTCGAGCGCCTGGAAGCGTCTCTCGATCTCTTCCATACTTCAGATCGAGCTTCTCGTCGAACTTCCTACTCCTCAGGATGTCTGCTTTGTTCGACCTCGAGCCACGCTTCGTCTTCTTCTTCTTCGGCGGCGTGCTGGGCTATGAAGGGCCGGCTGGCGCGGCCCTCGCCGCTGCCAGCCGCCAGGGCGCGGCCCCCGCCGCTGCCCTATCGCGGGCGCGCGCGCCCGCCGCGGGTGGCTGGAAGGGAAGCGGCAGCGGGAACGAACCCACGCCGCTCCGCTACCATGTCGATGGTTTTTACTTGGACCAAGGGGCTACAGATTAACATGTACAGTCAACAGCTCCAGATCGCTCTGAGAGCGCTCCGGAACGCTCTGGAGCGATTTATCCCGATCCTAGCCCTGTTTTAGGACATCCTGTCCTCAGACCCCGGACGTCGTGTTTTTTTCGAGCCGTCGACCCCCGGAGGTCTGGAGCACTTCCCCGGGACATTTTTTTTATTGATTGTTTCTATCCCGAATCGTTCTTTGACAGCCCCGAGGCCCTGCAAGGGCCTCCGAAGGCCGAAGACAGCGAAACACCTCCCGTCGTGTTCGTGTCGCAGCGCGAGGAGGTTTGGGTCCTAAGGGGGGCCTACGTGGCTAGAGCCATCCCTTGTGCCTGCCACCTCTTCCGTTCCTCTGCACTGTCCCTCCGTCCGTGACCTCCCTCTCCGTTGCCCCCGTCCAAGCCAAGAGGGGGGAAGACGAGCTGACGTTTGGAGCCCCTGACCGTGCCAGGGCCCTTGCACGAGTCCGCACAGGCCCTCGGCTTAGGGACCAGAGGGAATGACGATACAACACGCATGTCGCCGCGCCGTTTGTTCTGAACGCGCCCCAATGGACGTAACCGACACCGCAAACCCAAGGCAAGCCCTCCGTCCCGCGCCACAACAGACGAAACCAGAACCGCGGCAAACCCACGGCAAACCCACGGCAAACCCACCGCGCCCGAGGCGGCGTTTGCCCTGGTGGCCGATGCGCCCAGACGTAAGGCCGCGCGTCGGAACAAACGGCGGGGCGACACATGCTATGTGGGAAAGTCAAAAGTGCTGAGATGAAGAAGACGGCCTTCGCCGTCCATATGAAAGCTGGATGACATGGGCGACTGGGCAGACATGTTCAACGTACCGTGGCCCTGCTAGGACCGCTGTGCCTGTGCGCATCGGCAGCTCACCCACCGAGGGAGTCCTCACCAAGCCAGTAAAGGTGCACGCCAGCTTTAGCGGGGAAATGAAGGAGTCTCACGGCGTGACAGGGAAGTCCATAACAAGCGCTCAGTGAGGTTCCTCTCAGCGGAGAGTGGGGATCTGTGGGCACCAGGATCTAGCCGCACTTCCCTGGAAGCTGGTAAGCGTGTGCATCAGGCCGCGCTCCGTGGGCAGCCGCTGCCCAGCACGATGGCCTGCTTGAGCTCAACTGCACAAAGCCACCAGCCATGGGCGACTGGTGCCCCACCTGGCTCGATCCCTGGCAGCAGGTCGAGCCACATCCTGCGTAGATGGCTCCTTCGGCGAGGACGGGTGCGACCACTTCTACACCGGAAAGGACTTCGGTGAGGACGTGGTCGACATGATCTGGGCCATGGCGAAGCCTGGCATCGTTCACCACGTGATGTGGACCTGGACGGCCCCGTCCAGTGGAATCCCCAAGGAAATCAGCGCGCCGCTGGATTCGCCGCAGCAGGACGCCTCAAATGTAATGGACAAGTTCGGAGGCGCCGAGTGCGAGCGCATCTACAGCAGCGATGGGCCTCTGGATACGCAGCTCAGTGCCGTATGCGGACGACTATCATTGACACATGGCCGTCGGCCAACTCTCGTCTTGGTCTTTCATCGGCCCCGACTCTCACTCATTCTCGCGACACCGTTCATGCTTGGATAGGGCCTCCGAATGTGGCTAGCTCAGGCCCTGTCTTGTCTCCGTGTTTCGGCCACGGCGGTGTTGCATGGCCGCACTCGGACTCCACCGATGGGAATCTGCCTGGCGTTGACGTCGCACTTGGTCATCAGGTGCTGCTCCACACGGTACGCAGGGAGGCAACTGCACCTTCCCGCGCATGGAGGCCAATTGGGCTGAGAGTGCGGCTTAGCTCCTTATATTCGCATTTTCGCTGGCACGGTCTCCCTCGCCGCCTCCTCCACCTCCATCCCCGCCTCCATCACGACCGCTGCCTCTGCTGGCACCGGGCACGGCATCGCATCCTTGCGAGGGGGAACACTCGCTGCCCGGACATCCACGGTGAAACACAGGCCCCCCGGCTCACCCTCAGAAGCTGTCAAGAGCGGGCCGCTGCGAAAGGGGGGGAGTAAGTAGGTATGGCGTGGACCTGCACGGTGCCCAGTCAAAACGCTGAATATTTCAACGCTGTTGCTCCTCATCCGAATTTGCCGTGCGTTCGGGTCCTGATTGCCGAGGATAACTGCACTTGGGTTCGCTGCTTTTCAAGCCCGCGGGTTTAGCCGACCCGCGTGTCTGCAGATGCTCTGTGCCAGCTTCGCCGTTCAGAGTGTGCTCTCCGTACCGTTTTGCATGGGCAACAAGCTTGTGCTAGCCAGGGCGGACCAATCGAGCTTGATCTTTCCATCCATTCCCAGCTTGAGTTGGCGTCGCCTTGCGTTACCGCCAGTCACCCGAGGATCTTTGGCACCCTTCTTCAGCCAGCGTCCGACCTCCAAGTCCACCACCAGCACCTCGTCCTCCTCCTCCTCCTCCTCCATCTCCTCCTCCTCCTCATCATCATCTTCCTCCTCCTCCTCCACCATTCTTTTTCCTTTTAAATAGCTGCTCCCTGTCGCACCCCGAGGCCAGTCGAAAGGGCGGGCTGGGCGTTTCGTCTGAGACTTCCTCCTCACCACTAATGACCCTGAAGCTTACACTGGCAACAGCTTCACAGATGGAGGGCGGGCCGCTTCCAACATGTGACTCTCGCCTTAGCGCCGCGCACATTCGATTTTAGAAAATTGCAAAAAGTTTCACGGATTGAGGGCGTGTGGTTTTCAAAATGTGGCTCTCGTCTGGGCAACGCGCACTTTCGCTAAACATTTCGCAAGCATTTCACGGATTGAGGGCGGATTATTTTTAAAATGTGACTCTCGCGTTAGGGCCCACTCACACTCGTTTAAACACATTGCAAAATATTCACTGGTTCCCATGGTCAACGTGCCAGACATGGCGCTGTGGAGGGACTCAAGATTGGGAGGGCGCAGCCGTTACGTTGATTCGCTGTGTTGGAGTCCCAGGAATGGTGTTCTGGAACGATACCGGATCGTAAAGACGCAACAGTCATGTTGATTCGTGGCGTTGGAGTCCCGAGAAATGTTATGGCACGGTCTTCAATCGGTTGTCTCCCAACGAGGCAGATCCCCCAGTGGAAATCAACCTTTGTAGGGGCACCTAAAGCGGGAGCTTGGAGGGAGGGTTTATTTCAACATCGTTGATGAGTCATGGGTTTCCACTGGTCCTCCTCCTCTTCCTCCTCCTCCTCCTCCTCCTCCTCCTCCTCTTGCTCTCGGAGGAGGGCCAAATAAGACAACGGCGGCTCTCCTGCCTGCCCAAATCCCGTCAACGTGCTGACTGGATGTTGTGAGGAAAATCCGGCCGTGGCGACGGGAAGCCTCCAGGAGGCCTCAGAAGGAGGTTCTTCTCTCGACTGGCCCTCCTGCGGTCCTTCTCGCCACCGCCTCCTCCTCGCGCGCGCTGGGCAGCGACAGACTACGCAACGACCTTTTCAACGCCTAGGCCCTGTCGGTAAAACGAGCGCCCACCACCCACTCCGCGAGGCCGCGGCCGGGACGGCATCTTGCCGCCCGGGAGGCGTGAACTTCGCAGGCGCATCGCCGCTGCCGCACTCCTCCCCTCCGTGGCCCGCCCCCGGCGTAAGTCCTCCTCCTCCTGGTCGCCCCTCCTCCTCCTCCTCCTCCTCCTCCTCCTCCTCCTCCTCCCCCTCCTCCTCCTCCTCCTCCTCCTCCTCTTCCTCCTCCTACTACTCTTTCTCCTCCTCCTCCTCCTCCTCCTCCTCCTCCTCCTCCTCCATCCCTTTTCCTGGTACATCCGCCACCGTGCCGCTGGGCACGGAGTGGGCGTGTCCTCAGGTTCTTGGCCCGTCCCTCGAAGCCTCGATTCTCCCTCCCGAGGGGTCTTTAAAGAGCCTGGAGCCCAAATTGCGAATTCTTCTCGAGCTTCCCGCGTGACGCCTGGGCTCTCCCGCGTGAATTTTTTGGGTCCCAGAGGGCCCCAAGACGGCTCAAGAGGGCCACGAGTCGCCGAACGATCGTCTCAAGATGCGCAAGATGGCCTCCAGAAGGCCCAGAAACCCTCGAAAACGCCCCCAGAAGCCTCCCAAGAGGGCTCCAAGAGGGCCCCAACAAGCAAGCTCATTGCTTCTTTTTCAGGTGTTTGACGGACTTCGGCGTGCTCGCTTTTTCGGTTTCCCGACGCTCCAACACGGCCCACGAGGCCCCCCAAATCGCCTCCCCAATGGCCCCCCAGGAGCCCTTCCCCAGCGGCTTGCCAGCGCGCCCGCGGCAACTGGCACGGCCTCTTCGCCCAGGAGCACCGCCGCGCCTCCTCCCCGCACGCCTGCTCCCCAGCACGTGCTGGCCGCCCGCTGCCAAGGGCGAGGGGCAGCATGCCGCGCGGGGCGCGGCCCGACGGCTGGCGCCATTGTCTGTCGGCTCCCGCATCGGCGCCCGCCGCCACCGTCGCGCCCAGCCGCGGCCGCCAACGTCCACCCGTGGAGCACCCGAGCTGCTCGCTGCGTGCTGCTGCGTGGCACCCATGCGCTCCCATCCCTCGTCTGGTGTTTTGCTTCGACGTGGGAGCCCGGAGGTCTCAGGGCTCCCTCCCCGCGGTCAGTTTTTCATCCCGAATCGTTCCGTGGCGGTCCTGGGCCTGGTAAGGGCCTTTCGGGGGCCGAACATGGCCAACACACATCCGTCGTGTTTTCTTGTGTTGTCGCGGTTCTAGGAAGTCAGAGCCGGCTTGCTTCTTCCTCCATCGCCACCTCGGATACACGCAAGAGTGACCCTACCTAAATTAGGTGAGACCCCCGCCCCAGGGACAACCATGGGATACGACTTCATTTGATGTTCGCGCACGTTCTGGTGCGAGCTTAGCGTGCGCTCGAAAGCCCGAGCCCACTTTCGATAGTACTAACGTCGCTGCCCCGGAGGCGGGGGTCTACGCGTTCCCATGGGCCAGCGCGACCTTTGGTACGCAGTTTTAAATGGCCGCAGGGGGGCCAAATCCAAGCCCGCAAGCCAGTTCTGGGGGGGGATCTTTGTGGGCCGCACTCAGGGTCCCTCGGGCGGAGGGTCACTCTCACGTGTAGCCGACCATCCCCCACCGCCACCCCCTCCCCTCGGGCACGGCAGCGGCGCATGTCAAAGCCCGTGCCTTCGCCGGCTGCACCCTTTGGCAGCTCGGCGGGCTGGTCGCCGCGCCCCCTCGGGCGCAGGTGAGTGTGCGCGCCGGGGCCCCGGGGGCTCGGCTCGTGACGCTAAAGGTACAGGAAGTCGGGTACGGCAGGTCCCGGTCGTGATGACAAGTGCAATGGTCTCTGACACCCGCGGGTACTTCAACCTCGAACCATCGCGACTTTCCGAGAGCGCTGATCGCTTGACGTCGGCCGATTCTGGGCCACTTGTCGCGTTCAACCTCGAACGCCAGTACCAGGGTCGCAGCCTTGAGGTTCGAGGGTTGTGAACTTTTTCGTCATTGCTGGGCTTCTGGAGGGTTGCTTTCCTCCCCCCACTCGAAGAAAAACTTGATGAACGTGGGCATGCGGACTGGGGGTATTCTTTGTGTCGCCGCGAGGTCAAGGCCATCGGGGCAGATTCGTGCCCTGTTGAGTTATGAGATCTAGTTGGGACCATCTTGTGATCGCCTTGAGGCCATGGTGGGAGCTTGGGGGGCACATGGGGCTACCATCAGGTCATGGCGTCATGTCCAGATCATCTTGAAGTCACGAAGCCGCTTTGAGAGCGACGTACGACCCCTTCCCCACCGTCCAATGTTGGTGGGGGTGGCCGCCGCACCCAAAAAGTCTGGTCAACTTTGGATCGGGGCGGTGGGCGAAGGTCCCGGGCTGAGCCGCTCATCGCGTTTAAACCATGCCCGCATCCTCTCTCATCCTTAATCCCATACTTTCGGGGCTTGTAACAAAGATATACCCCTCGAACTTCTGATCAGAACGCACCCCTGGAAGTGTTGAGGAGTCGATATTTGAGGAGAAGAGGATGGTGATGCTGCTGATGATGATGATGACGATGATGATGATGATGATGGTGATGATGATGGTAATACTGATGATGCTGCTGCTGATGATGATGATGATGGTGCTGATGATGCTGCTGCTGATGATGATTACGATGATGTGGTTGATGATGATGCTGATAACGCTGCTGCTGATGATGAGGATGGTGATGCTGATGATGATGCTGCTGCTGATGATGTTGATGATAATGGGGGCCTGAATAAACCTCGGATGCATAAACGAAACTGTACGTACCCCCACCCGTTTCAACTTCCGTTTTCCCCAAGTCCAACAAATATTCCATATATCCTTCATGTCTTCCCCAACGCCCCCCTTCAATGACGATCTCCCGGCTGGCCTGCCTCTCAGGTGAGATCCCGTTTCGTAATGGATCCCCCTCCATCAGTCTAGCCGAACGATGCAGACACATTCCCTGCGATAGTTTCATGCTGGAGACGATCTGCCCTCCATCCACGTGTTCCACACTGTCAAAATTAACGTCGTACCACTTACAGAATTGTCCAGCGACAATCTAGTTTTGAAAATTAGTCGCCCTCAGTCCGTGTGGCTGTTGCACGACTTGGAGCTTCGGGTTATAGAAGAAGAAGAAGAAGTGTCAAGTGAGAACAGACTTGTGGAACCGAGCCCACCGCTGACGCGAGTCGTATTTTGACCCCCCCCCTCTATCCGCGAGGCTATTTGATGTTTCAAGGCGAGTGTGCGTGGCGCGAGAACTCGATCTTGAAAAGTAACCGCCGTCCACCCGTGCACACTTTGGATCTTCGGGTCTTAGATCATATGTTGTGGCACTCAGGCGAAATCAGGATTTTGAGCCCCCTCACTCATTGGAACTTCTGAAAACTTTTGCCAGGGGTGTGCCCAGCGCTTGGGCGAGAGCCTCATTTTGTGAAAACTACGGGCATCTGTTGGAATACTGTACACAGAATGTGCACGGCGCTGAGGCGATGATCGCACTTTGAAAACAACCAACCCACTATCCTGGTAAAGCCTTGATGTTTTAGCTTCAGAACAACAAGTTGCATGGATACCTGAACCGACGCACTGGTGCGACAGTATGCAGTTGTCTGAAAGGAAGGGGGACGGAAGAACCTGAAGAGGGAGGGAAGGAAAGGGGAGGGGAAGCGAGGGAGGATTAGCATAAGTGGTCATTGAGGAGGAGGAGGAGGAGGAGGAGGAGGAGGAGGAGGAGGAGGAGGAGGAGGAGGAGGAGGGGGAGGAGGAGGCGGTGGTTGAGAATTGTAGTGTGGCGCTGATGCCCTTGAGGGTCGGAGAAACCCCTAAGACGTTTGGTGGGGCTCATGGGCTCGCCCATCCTGGGCATTCGGTGCTGGCGAAGGCTTGGAAAGTCCAACCGCCTGACGACTCTGGCAAGGAGGTGTACTGGGGAGGAGGGAGAGGGAGGATGAGGTGGAAGAGACGGGGGATAGGGGGAGCGGGAAGGGGCAAGCGCGGGCTGCGCCGCGGCCTTGGCTGCCCGTTCCTTGGGCGACACACCTAACAGCACTGGCCCCGAGGGCCTTGAAGGAGAGCCGGGCCGTCTGATGCGGCAGCCTGCTCGGCGTGCCCCGGGGCGGAGGCGCGTTACAGCGCCGGCCCCGCGGCCAGAAGAGGAGGAGCCATGTCAGCTGATGCAGCAGCCTGGCTCGGCATGCTCTCGCGCCTCCCTCTCTTCCTCCTCCCTCTCCTCCTCCTCCTCCTCCCCCTCCTCCTCCTCCTCCTCCTCGTCGTCTCGTCCTCCTCGTCCTGCTCTTTCTCCAAATCTGTGTTCACCTCAAGCTCCGTCTCCGACTTCCGCTCCATCTCCATGTTGAGGCGTGGTAGAAAAATACCCGAACGTAGCAATAACAATATCAATGTATCAAACAAAACATCTGCGACTCCGACTCCCGCTGCTCCCCCCTCGCTCCGTCCACAACGCGCAGCGTGAAGTGCGAGGATGGCGAAATCAGGAAACCCCAAACAATGCACACACATGCCTCCCGTCCAAGGCACCCGTCAGCCAAGAGGGAGGAAGGAGACACAGGATGCCAAACCAGCCGACAAGTCTTTGGCTATAAGAGCGCAATCGCATCGGACACGTCACGTTAGCATGGAGTCGAGCTCCAGCGTCGCTGGAACAATGGAGTAGTAATTTACTGACAGTTTCCTCTAAGGAGCCAATGCATTGACTGCGTAGCGCCATCGGGGATGAACGCACATAGCAGAGGACTCGCTACAACGGTTGATGATGCTCGTGGCGGTGCTGACCGCGAACATGTGAACGACGACGACTACTACCACGTCATGAAGCGGGGCGGACACGCGCTTACCTGTGGAGTTGGATCCGCACAGTCTCATCGTCGGCTGAGCGTGCAGCTCCTGCGCTGTCCAGGCGAGCACTGAACGCAAGCGGGCCGTCCCCGTCCTCGCCACTGCTACTGCTCGTCCTCCGCCTGCTGCTGGTGCTCCTCCTCCTGCCCCCGCTCCAGCTCCTACTGCTCCTCATTCGTTCCAGCTCCTCCTTCTCGTCCTCCTCATCTGTGTGTTTCCCAGAGACTTTTTTTTTTTTTTTTTTTTGTTTTTTTTTTTTTTTTTTTATTTTGTTTCTTTTTTTTGTTGTTTTTCTACCTGGTCGCATCATCATCATCATCATCATCATCATCATCATCATCATCATCGTCATCAGCATCAACATCACCATCAGCATCGTCATCAGCATCATCATCATCAAAAACATCATCACCATCACCATCACCATCACTTCCACCATCACCACCATCGTCACCACCTTCACCACCATCATCATCATCATCATCATCATCACCACCACCACCATCATCATCATCATCATCATCACCGTCATCATCGTCATTATCGTCAGCATCACCATCACCATCACCATCACCATCACCATCACCATCACCATCACCATCACTATCATCATCATCATCATCAGCATCATCATGAAGAGGACGAGGAGGAGGAGGAGGAGGAGGCAGCGGAAAAGGCGAGCGTAGGGAGCGGACGATCGGCCAGCTGGTGGCGTTCCTCACGCTGCCCATCAGTGCGTGTACCGTCACGAGCGAGTGCTGCGAGTGAGGATCGAACTCGCGAGCTCAAATAGGTTGATCAAACCTGCGCGCTGCTGACTGCGCTATCGCCGCCTTTAGCTGAGGATGTCGAAGGCGGCCAGAACGGCCAGCCAGCTGGAGAGCTGGGCAGGAGCAATCAACATCGAATCCTGAACTCAGGATGGATGAATCGGAAATTGCGTCGGATCGGGCTGCATCGGAAAGGAATCGAAACTGAATCGGACCGGCTGCGCCAAGGTTCACAGGAGTGCCGTGCAAGCATCGGGCAGCATCGGATCGTCTGAACACCAGAGTCGAAGCGGATCGAGACGGCCAACATCGATGTCAAATCGGATCGGTCGGGTCGAAGAGGAGGCCAAAGCCGGCTGGAGCGGCCAGTCAGAGAGTAGTGTCCCCCCCCCCCCCCCGACCCCCCAGCGGCTCCTGGAAGATCGCATCCGACCTTGGCTGCACTCTGCTCCCCCTCCTCTTCCGCCCCCGCCTCCTGTCACTTCCTCGACCTCCTCCTTTTGCTCCTCCTAGTGGTGCTGCAGCTAATCCGCCTCGCTCGCTTCTTTGTATTGTCCTCCTTCTCTTCCTTCTCCTTCTTCCCGCTCTTTCCTAATATAGCTCTCATTATCATCTTGCTTCTCTCTCTCCCTCTCCCTACCTCCTCCATCCCCCTTCCCTACCTCTTCCTGCTTCTCCTTTCCTCCTCTCCTCCTCTTCTCTTTTCCTTTCCCCCGTCTTCCTACGCCCGCACCTCCATCTCCACCTCCTCCTCCTTCTCTCTCTGTCTTTCTCTCTCTCTCTCTCTCTCTCCGTTTTTTTGTTTTGTTTTTTGTTTTCTCTATCTCTCTCTATCCTCATATACCTGCGTATTTGTAATTACATCAACACAACATGTATACGTATATGTTTAGAACTAGAGTTCACAGCTACTAATATTATATTTTCGTAATCATCTTTCTTTTTTTTTTATTTTAGCTGTATGAGAAATTCAAATAGATTCCTCCCAATACATCTTTTAATTCCCATAGGTTAATCCCAATACATATATAAATATAAGTGTAGACATACATTTTTTTCCCAACCATCCTGTGGTGTTGGGTCCTCGTTTTGAAGAGACGGTGCCCCGCGTTCCTCTCCTTCCTCCTCCCCCTCCTCCCTCCTCCCCCTCCTTGCCTCTGCCCTCGGCACACCTCTCACGCGTTTCGTAGCCCCATAGGGAAATCCACCGAAGGCCCCAGTGGGGGTGTCCACATGCGGTTCCCCCACCCAGGGCAGCGTTTCGTGGCCCCATAGGGAGCTCCACCGAAGGCCCCAGTGGGGGTGTCCACATGCGGTTCCCCCACCCAGGGCAGCGTTTCGTAGCCCCATAGGGAGCTCCACCGAAGGCCCCAGTGGGGGTGTCCACATGCGGTTCCCCCACCCAGGGCAGCGTTTCGTAGCCCCAGAGGGAGCTCCACCGAAGGCCCCAGTGGGGGTGTCCACATGCGGTTCCCCCACCCAGGGCAGCGTTTCGTGGCCCCATAGGGAGCTCCACCGAAGGCCCCAGTGGGGGTGTCCACATGCGGTTCCCCCACCCAGGGCAGCGTTTCGTAGCCCCATAGGGAGCTCCACCGAAGGCCCCAGTGGGGGTGTCCACATGCGGTTCCCCCACCCAGGGCAGCGTTTCGTGGCCCCATAGGGAGCTCCACCGAAGGCCCCAGTGGGGGTGTCCACATGCGGTTCCCCCACCCAGGGCAGCGTTTCGTAGCCCCATAGGGAGCTCCACCGAAGGCCCCAGTGGGGGTGTCCACATGCGGTTCCCCCACCCAGGGCAGCGTTTCGTGGCCCCATAGGGAGCTCCACCGAAGGCCCCAGTGGGGGTGTTCGCATGCGGTTCCCCCACCCAGGGCAGCGTTTCGTAGCCCCATAGGGAGCTCCACCGAAGGCCCCAGTGGGGGTGTTCGCATGCGGTTCCCCCACCCAGGGCAGCGTTTCGTGGCCCCATAGGGAGCTCCACCGAAGGCCCCAGTGGGGGTGTCCACATGCGGTTCCCCCACCCAGGGCAGCGTTTCGTAGCCCCATAGGGAGCTCCACCGAAGGCCCCAGTGGGGGTGTCCACATGCGGTTCCCCCACCCAGGGCAGCGTTTCGTAGCCCCATAGGGAGCTCCACCGAAGGCCCCAGTGGGGGTGTCCACATGCGGTTCCCCCACCCAGGGCAGCGTTTCGTAGCCCCATAGGGAGCTCCACCGAAGGCCCCAGTGGGGGTGTCCACATGCGGTTCCCCCACCCAGGGCAGCGTTTCGTAGCCCCATAGGGAGCTCCACCGAAGGCCCCAGTGGGGGTGTCCACATGCGGTTCCCCCACCCAGGGCAGCGTTTCGTGGCCCCAGGGAGCTCCACCGAAGGCCCCAGTGGGGGTGTCCACATGCGGTTCCCCCACCCAGGGCAGCGTTTCGTAGCCCCATAGGGAGCTCCACCGAAGGCCCCAGTGGGGGTGTCCACATGCGGTTCCCCCACGCAGCGTTTCGTAGCCCCAGAGGGAGCTCCACCGAAGGCCCCAGTGGGGGTGTCCACATGCGGTTCCCCCACCCAGGGCAGCGTTTCGTAGCCCCAGAGGGAGCTCCACCGAAGGCCCCAGTGGGGGTGTCCACATGCGGTTCCCCCACCCAGGGCAGCGTTTCGTAGCCCCATAGGGAGCTCCACCGAAGGCCCCAGTGGGGCTGCCCTCATGCGGTTCCCCCACCCAGGGCAGCGTTTCGTGCCCCATAGGGAGCTCCACCGAAGGCCCCAGTGGGGGTGTCCACATGCGGTTCCCCCACCCAGGGCAGCGTTTCGTGGCCCCAGAGGGAGCTCCACCGAAGGCCCCAGTGGGGGTGTCCACATGCGGTTCCCCCACCCAGGGCAGCGTTTCGTAGCCCCATAGGGAGCTCCACCGAAGGCCCCAGTGGGGGTGTTCGCATGCGTCTCCACTACCCAGAGGTAGCGCCGCCGAAAACGATATTCACACTTGCGGTATTCACAGTTTCATATGGTTGGGTCCTTCGCCAGGCTTTTTTTTTTTCTTCCTCTCTCTCTCTCTTTCTCGCGCTATCTGTCTATCTGTCGATCTGCCTCTGCTTGCCTGTCTGTCTCTTCCTACCCATCGACCCAGAGTCACAATGCTGGGGCTTGGCGTGGCCACGGAGTTCTCACCTGCTCTGACTGCTCGTGCGCCCCAGGAGGCGGTGCGGGTGAGATCTTGGACTAGGTAACGTCACATCCCTTGCGCATGCTGGTTTTGGTCTTGGGGCCGTGCCCCCTTTTCAAAAGGGAGAACGAATACAAGCTCATATGTACAGATACATACGAATACATGAACACATAAACATGTAACTATCTAATTATAGTCATGCGGTGCGAACCGATGGTTTATTGGTATGTATATATATATATATATATATATATATATATATATATATAACCATCGCGCGCTTCGCGCGCGCTCAAGTTCTAGATGGGATAATCGTCATCGTCATCATCGCCATCCTCATCACCATCATATCCAGCGTCATCGTCAGCGGCATCGTCATCATCACCATGACCATCACCATCATCACAATCGTCACCATCACCAATATCAGCAGCAACATCGTCATCACCATCGTCATCATCGTCATCGTCGTCATCATCGTCAGTATCGTCACCTGAATTATCAACATAATCATCCTCATCATCACTATCGTCATCATTATCGTCGTCGTCGTGATCGTCGTCATCGTTATCGTCATCATCATCGTCATCGTCTTCATCATCCGCCCACTCCTGCATCACAAGCACCATAAACAGCATCACCACCATCATTATCAGCATCGGCGTTATCATCCTGACCATCACCAACATCATCATAATGATCATCAGCATCACCATGCTCAACGGCATCACCGTCATCGTCATCATGGTCGTCAGCATCACCACCATCATCATCATCATCATCATCACCATCACCCACATCACGATCACCATCATCATCATCATCATTCCCACTGTCAACATCATCATCATCATCTTCTTCCTCATCATCATCATCGTCGTCGTCAAGTTCATAATAGTCGTCATCATCGTCATCATCTTCGTCACCGTCGTCTCCGAAGCTCCCCCGCCGAACTCGAGGATATCTCCGCAGCGTCTTGCATGCCGCGTGAGCAGTGTTGGGGATTTAGGTTGTGGGCCTGAGGCCGCCCTGCATAATCATCATTGTCATTATCACCAGCACAGTCATCACCAACACCACCGTCACCATCGTTATCGCCATCGCCTTCCTCATCGTCACTGCCACCGCAACCGTCATCATCACCATCAGCATCCTCATCACCATCATCATCGTTATCATCATCATCATCATCATCATCATCATCATCATCATCATCATCATCGTCGTCGTCGTCGTCGTCGTCGTCGTCGTCGTCATCAACATCAACATGACAATCATCAACATCATCACCAACAACAAAAAATCACCATCGTCATTTCCATCATCCTCAACATGTTCTTCTTCGGTCTACTCCGGTTCGATTTTCGTCCTCCTTCTCGTCCTCCTCGTCATCTTGTCTTCCCTTTCGATATCTCCTGTCGACCTCCCCTCCTCCACCTACTCACCCTTCTCTTCGACGCTGTCTATTCGGAGATCCCTGTTCGTCCTTGTCGTCCTCGTCCCCCTGTTCCTCCCGTCTGTTGTTCTCTCTCTCTCTCTCTCTCTCTCTCTCTCCTCCCAGAACGCCAAAACCCTTTAAAAACCATTAAAATCAATGAACATTCCCTCTTGGGCCCCTCCCGGGAGTGCAGTCGGAGACCTGCTGGGACGCTTTGGCAACTTTTCTACCGTCTTGGAGTGCTCCCGGGCCGCTTCGGACCTCTCTTGGGCTGGGCTGTCCTGAGGGCGTCCTGGAGCCATTTTAAAGGGTCCTGGGAGCGTCCTGGCGTCTCCGGCGGGGGGGTGACCACAGCCACTGGGCAAAGTGAGGCCCCCCCCCGGTCCAGGACCCCCTCCCCATTTATATATACATATCTACAAATGTATGGGGAGAGAAAGGGGGAGAAAACAAACAAAACAACACAACGAACGATGTAGTATACACATTTGGTGTATGGACGTACACAGGGTGATAGAGGGACACGAGCGATGAGACGATAGAGAAAACGAGATAGAGAGAACAAGTCGAGCGATAAAGTGACACACACACACACACACACACACGCATACGCATACTCGTGCACCAATAGATCCGCCACCGTGCCCCCTGACACGTTGAGGCGTGCTGGAATGCCAAGTGCTGTCTGGTAGGGGGGTTTGGTAATCTTCTGCAGGAGCCCCCCCTCTCCTCGCCGCAACTCGTCGCGCGCACCGGCCGTACTCCCGCGGGGCTCCTGGGCGGCAGTGGCGCCTCCCTGGGGCCCTCCAAGGCCTCCGTGACGGCCACGGAGGCCCCCAAGATGGTCAAAGAGAACCCCGAGTCCCCGAACGATCGCGCGAAGACGCTCAAGAGGGCCTCAAGATGGCGCAAGATGCTTCCGAAGCGCCCCAAGAGGCCTCCAAGAGGTCTCCCAAGAGTGCCCCCCAAGGCAACAGTCAGAGATATTCTGAAGGTCCCCTAGAGGCCCCCAAAAGCAAAACTCATTGAAGGACTTGGCAATGGTGAATGAAGGGTATGTCTGCGTACGCCATTATCCATATGTGTATACAGAGAAGGAGAGGGAGAGGGAGAGAAAGAGAGAGAGAGAGAGAAAGAACGAGAAAAACAGAGAAAGAGAGAGAGAGAGAGAGCGAGAGAGAGAGAGAGAGAGAGCGAGAGAGAGAGAGAAAAAAAGAGACAGCGATAGAGAGAGAGAGAGAGAGATGGGCGAGAGAGAGCGAGAGAGAGATAGAGAGAGGGGACAAACAGAGAGAGAGAGAGAGATAGCGAGATATGGTGGAGGAGGATGAGGAGGTTCAAGGTTCTCTGGGGGGCCAGGGGCCTTACTCATCTTCTCTGTCATATTCTCCGTATCGTTCCAAAGTTTAACGGATGATCCCTGAAGGGGATCCAATGGTGGAGTAGGAGGGGTATGACAAAGAGGAGGCGGGGGGTAATGATGAGTAGCAGCATCAACATATCACGAGGAGGGAGCAGAGGGCAAGGAATATGCCATGACATGAGGAGGATCAGGATGAGGATGAGGATGAGGATGATGAGGATGATGAGGATGAGGATGAGGATGATGATGCTGCTGCTGCTGCTGATGATGATGATGATGATGATGATGATGATGATGATGCTGATCATGATGCTGATCATGATGATGATGATGATGCTGATGATGAGGAGGAGGAGGAGGAGGAGGAATTTCCGACATCAGCAGATACTGGGCCACTCCACCAGTCAGCCGGGGGCCAGGGCTGGACCTGAGGAGGACGAGCAGGATGGAGCAACACGCCTCGGCAAAACCATGTCCAATCTCTTCAAATATCAGACTTCTCCATTCGCAATCCCTCTCAGTCTGGTCGGGTGACACGGGGGGTCAGCGCATCAGCTCGCGCAACGGGTTGTCCGGGAGAGTCCAGCGGCCACGCATCGAGAAACGGGCCCAGGGGCGGCGCCGAAACTGGCTGCGTGCAGCAGAACTTGTTGTCCCCCCCTTGCCGAAGTCCCGAGCCTGGAAGTGGGGGGGGAGTGAGAAGAAGAAAGCCTTCGCAGAACGCTCGGAAGTCCCCTGGCCTCCTGAAGGGTTGTCTGAGCCTCCCCCGAAAGCACACAACAACTCTGAGAAGGCGCGAGGGCTTCTGGGAAATCCCACCGCCTTCTGAGAAGGCCCTCTCCTTCTTACTTCCCCCCCTCGCTCGCCGCCGATCTCTGGCAGGGTCTACTCGCTTCCACCGAGCTTCCGCTGGCCAAGCCGCCCTGGCTCCACCAGGAGGAGGAGGAGGAGGAGGAGGAGGAGGAGGAGGAGGAGGAGGAGGAGGAGGAGGAGGAGGAGGAGGAGGAGGAGTAGGAGGTCCGTCAGCCTTCGCGGGCCTCCTGCCACCGTCGAGGGCACGAGGCCGACCCCCCCAGCCCCCACCAAGGCGAGGCCCTTTCCCTGGAGCACCCCGCTGTGGTCGACGCTCGCCTGCCCCCTCGACGCTCGATGCCATGTCTCCAGGGATTCGGAAACCAGGAACAAGTTCAATGCCACGCCAGCTTGTCAGCGTGTCATCATTGAGGAGGTACGATAAGTCTTCCACACGCAGCGCACGAGTAACACGTACAACTCGCGCCTGCGGCGGGCATGTTCAGAGCCTCGCAGGCTGCCGACGTCCCCGCCGTTCTCTCTCACTTCTGTCCGCAGCTGCGGGGTGCTGTGCGTGCTCTTCGTAGCCCCTCCCGAGGGATGGCAGGGGAGCTGGTGCAGATCCAGCCCTTCTCTCCCCCAGGGCTCCTCTGCCCGGCCCGCCCTTCTGGGGTGTGCCTCGGAGAGGCGGGGGGAACGTCCTGGACTGCACCGGCCCAGAGAGGCTCGGTGCGGCACCTCGCTGCTCCCAAGAGAGGCCGCCGCTCGCCGACGGGGTCGCGGCTGGGCGCGCGGCATGGCGCTCTGATCCTTCTTGTCCCTGACGTCGAGCTCCAGCTTGATCCCAGCGGGCGCGTCGGCCAAAACCTCTCTCTCTCTCTGTCTCTCGCGAGCGCCGTGTGGGGTGGGGGTGGTGGTGGTGACGGGGGGCGAGAGCGAACCTCACGTTTACGTACTGCTGCTGCTGCTGCTTCTGCAGCTGCTTCTCATCCTCCTCGCCCGCTCCTCCTCCTCCTCCTGCTGCTGCTCCTCCTCCTCCTCCTCCTCCTGCTGCTGCTCGTCTTCTTATGTTTCATACTCCTTCTCCTCATCCTCCTCCGCCTCCTCGGCGTCCTCATCTTATGTCTCCCGTTCAACGACTTGTCCGGGCCGTGGAATGCGCAAGCTTCGCGGCCAATCCCTGGAGATATTCATCACGTGCCTCTGATCTGTCCGTATCCTCCCACCCATTAGTTACCCCGCTCCTTCCCCTCCTCCTCCTCCTCCTCCTCCTCCTGCTCCTCTTCCCTGCCATCCCCCGTGCTTCCTCGCCATCATGGGGCACGGCCCGTCCCCGGGCTTCAGGTGTAAGGTGGCGCAGCGGCCGACGAAACCAAACAAGCCCCTCTCCCCCTAGCCTGGGCGTACAGGGCTGTTTTTAATACATCGGATTTTGAACAACATAGGATTTTAATACATGATCAACTTATGAATACATGTATGCATGAACTCCTCGTTGTTTTTAATGCTAAATCCCTGCATTTTAAATACATGATCCGCACGCGGAGCATGTATAAAAAACGGCACTGTACGTCCATGCTTGTGTGGGCAATGAAGTATTTCGTTGGCGCCCGTGGTCCTCATGGATTGAGTTTTGGTGCGCCCGCTGATGGACGCACCTTTGCTCATGCAGCCCTGTGTGAGACCGTTGGCGCTTCTGCTTTCACCTCTGGTTTGCACGTGGCAAACTGAATATTCTTCCCCTTTCAGTGATGTGTGAAGACGTCTGCGTGTATTCTCGATGACGAGCGCACCGATCATATTTGGCGAGTGTCTTCTCCTGCGAAGCATTGTGCGAAAACGTCTGCGGCTGCTGAAGCGTGTGTCACGGGTGCTTGTGCCTCATGTTCGGGTTCGTCGCCGTCCTCGTCCTTCTCCTCGTGCTTCTCGTGCTCCTCGTGCTCCTCGTGCTCCTCGTGCTCCTCCTCCTCCTCCTCCTCCTTCCCCTCCTCCTTCCCCTCCTCCTTCCCCTCCTCCTCCTCCTCCTCCTCCTCCTCCTCCTCCTCCTCCTCCTCCTCTTCTTGCACAAGCGAAAGGAAGCCGTGACACGAAGCGAGCGCGCCCGCGTCCCCTCGTCAGGTCGAGCAGCGCGACGACGGGTAGGGCAGCACCAGGATCTGGTAGGCCAGCGGCGCCGCCTCCGTGGCTGCCCAGCTGCTCCGCCTAGCCGGCCAGCTCCGCCGCCAGCCGGCCCGCGGCCTCAGCGGCGGCGTCCCCGCCGACGGCGGTGCGCAGCTGCAACGCGGTGGCCCTGTGGAGCGCCGCGCTCAGCTCGGCGCCCCACCGCCGAGGGTGCGCGCCGGCGGCGGTCTCCCCCGCGGCTCTGTCCCCGAGGCCCTGCGCCCGGTCGCGCGCCAGCCAGCGGAGGTGCCGCAGCGCGGCATGGCCGTGGCGGCCGCCGGTCTCGAGCGCCAGCGGGAGCAGCGGCCAGGGCGCCTGGCCCGCTGGATACCGGCGCCGCTTGTCCCGCTCGGCCTCGCTGTTCATGGCGCCGTCGCCGTACGCGGCTGCCGTCAAGGCGCGGGCGCCCCCAGGGGCGCTGTAGCGAACCGTCACGTCCGCGTACAGCCTGGGGATGTCGCCCCGCTGCGCCTGCAGGTCCAGGAGGGCCTCGTCCCGCTCCGCCTGAGGCGCCGCCCCGCAGGCGCCGCGGGGCCCGCGCGGGGGCGAGTCCGCCGTGCCGCGGGCCGCGCAAGCCGGGCCAGAGCGGCGCCAATGCCACCTGTCCCAGGCCAGGACCGTCACCTGCCGGGCCGTGCGGAAGCCGCGTTCCTGGTAGATGCGCTCCCACACGTCCTCGACATCGCGGCTTCGTGCATTGGGGCCGCCTCTGCAGGGGCAGCGGCAGGCGTGGCGCGCCCTGCTGCAGAGCGCCTGCCCGCAGGCCTGGCCCGCCCTCGGGCCGGTCTTGAGACGGTTGCTGCGGCAGCTCCTGGCCGGTGCCGTGTCCTGGCCCAGGAGCGCCCGCGCGGTGGTGCAATGAGCAGCGTCGTCCTCCTCCTCCCCTGACCCCTCCTGCTCTCGCTCCCTGCCCCCCCCCCGCCTCCTCATCCTTTTCCTGCTGCTGCTGCTGATGCTGCTCTTCTTCTCGTTTTCCTCGTCCTTCTCCTCCCCCCCTCCCTGGCCTCCTCGTCCCCTCCTCCATCTTCCTTTCTTCCCCGGAACTCGAGCCGCTCCCGACTAACTTCAGGCGCGAGCGACCGTTGGTCGGAGCGTTCAGCGGAGCGCCAGACGAACGACGGGGCGGGCGAGGTTCAGCTCGCCCGCCCCCAGGCGACGCAAGGAAGCGGGTTGCGCCTACTTCGTTCTGTGCGGCCTCCGCGGCCTCCGAAACTCCTCAGGGGGAGGCGCCTGCATGTCAAACCAACTCGACTGGGAGATCGACTACAGCATGGATTTAACAGCATTGCAGTTTCAATCGAACCTACGACAAACGCGAATCACTTTTGTAGATCTACGAACACTCGAAGTGTGATTCCACACATCTGTGGACGAAATCCGTCGCAGTCCTGTGGGTTCCCCAATGGTTCTACGAATTTCCCCGGGAGCCCCAAATATTTCCGGAAGATTCCCCCCCGAAGATTCCGAACTATCTCCTCAGAATCTCTACGATCTTCCTAAGGCATCCCAGGGACTTCGCATACAATCGTAAGGGCTTCCTCAAGATTTTACAACGAACTTCAGGCATCCCAGGGATTTCCGCAGGAGCCCTGAACCCCCAAGAAATCCAAAGGAATTTCTATGGCGTCCCGAAGATTTCCTCGGGACCCCCCTGAATAGTTCCCCAGCAGTCCTGAGGATTTCCTGCTGTACAGTCGGACTTGTTTGGACAGGACACCCGAGAGGACACAATGTTCTTCCGACGGCAAGGTGGCTCCATAACACGCAAGGACATGCGGTTTTCATAGGTAGGGATATACAGGACACGATGATATCCTCGATTTGGCAAGGTCGACCTACCAGACAGGGCCGACTGTATCCCAAGGGTTCGCCGAGGGATCCTATATGGCTTCATCGTGCGCATGTTGCGGCGGACTCCACCCCTCCAACGCCTCGAGGCTTCACCTCTGGCGGAGCGAAAGGCCGCCGATGCGACGCAGCTGGCGGAGGGAAGAGGGGGAAGGAGGAGACGACCGTAGAGAGGAGTCCGTTCGCGGGACTAGACCGCAGGCGAGGGCGGCGGCGGGGGCAGAGGAGGAGCAGGAGGAAAAGGAGGAGGAGGAGGAGGAGGAGGAGGTGGAGAAAGAAGAGAAGGAGGAGGAAGAGCAGGAGGAGGAGGAGGAGGAGGAGGAGGAGGAGGAGGAGAACGAAGAGGTGGAGGAGGATGACCGCCATGGTGGGCTGCACCAGTGGTACAGGGCCACGCGCCTGTCATGATGTTTGCTGGCTGTACTGGGGAGGATTTCGTTTTTGAAAAGAGAATGCGAGGCTAATATGCATGCGTAAGCTGACTACACCTACTCAACTAAGTGAACCCACTCGGGGAAGCTGATGATACCGCAACTGTACTCGTGCAGTGTTCAAAGCTGCGCATCTGGCTGTTTCCATGCTTGACCGTGTTTTCCACAACCATCACCAATGGTGCCAAGCAACATGCACCCAGCGAGCCCAGAGACACGCAAAGAACACCCTGCAGTAGGCGAAGCAAGATGCGAAGCCTTAGCTTGTGCGGACCGTCTTTAAGATGCAGAGGAACATGTGCCAATGATGGTGAGACGCCCGTGTCGTCGGTTTCCATTGGTACTAGTCGTGTGCACTTGGGAGACGAACTGTATGGTTCGGGCTGGCGATGCCAGTGATTGGCCCAGCCAAGACCAACATCGAATTGGGAAATCGGATCGCGTCGGAATGTGCGTCGAATCGGTCCGCATCGGCACGGAATTGAATTTGAATCAAATCGGCCGCGCCAAAATGCACAACAGCGCCACGCAAGCTTCGGGCTGCACCGGAGCGCCAAGAAATCGGAATCACATCGGATCGGGGCGGCCGACATCTATACAACCCTGGTCGATCGGATTGATGTGGCCTCTGCGTAGGCCTCGCGGGCATGCGCGGGCGTGAACCGGCGGACGCCCGCATTTGCCGTGGCGTGGGGGACGGCCGTGATCAGCACCGACGGCAGCCCGCGTGCTGAACGTGCTCCCGCGGGGCAGTGACTTCTCGCGGCGGGTCCGCGCGAGCTTGGTCTGGTGGCGGCGCAGCGACCATCTTAAACCAGACACCTGGTTCCAGGTGGATGATGATGATGATGTTGATGTTGATGCTGGAGATGATGGTGCTGGTGGTGGTGATGTTGATGATGATGATGATGATGATGGTGATGGTGATGGTGATGGTGATGGTGGTGGTGATGATGATGATGATGATGGTGATGGTGATGATGATGATGATGATGATGATGATGGTGATGATGATGATGATGATGATGATGATGATGATGATGATGATGATGATGAATGACGGCGGTGACCGCGACTAGTCGCTTAAACCCCCTAATCACGGAGAGCTTATGAGTTCCTTCGCGGGATTATTGACGGATTGGGGCCCCACCAGTAGTTGAAACAAATTATTCCGCCGCGGCGGCCACCACTGATGATCGTGGGGGGGGGGATGAGGATCCTTGATGGTGGTGATGCTGATGCAGGGAAGGACGATCATGTCTGCGCCCAAAGAACACGTAGAAGCAAAGGCCTCCGAGCTAAAACAGACAAGCACCACTGGGACGACCAACTGTTACTGCCATCGTCATATCGACCGTCTCTGCTCGGAGGATGTGTAGCTGGATTGTCGTTGCTGCCTACTCCTGCTGAAATGAGCCGATGCTGTGCTCTGTCGCCTGCTGTGGTGACTGCCACCTGAGAATCACGCATAGGCATTGGAGGAGTCTGGGCAGCACGAGCAGTCATGTCAGTGAGTGAAATATGGAACTGCAGGGTCGGGGTATAGAAGGCGGGGAAGATTTGTCCAGAGGGCGCGGTCTATTGGATGATGGAGGTGGGTGCACGCTGCTGCAATGCCTTCGGTCCAGGATCCTGGAGTTGGCCCTCGCGAGCCATGTAGGGCACTGGAGGATCCTGGCGTGGCGGCACTGGAGGTAATGGCATATTTCGTCGGCTCTCCCCCCCCAGACTGCCACATGCACCCTCGTCGCTCAAGCAACACGTGCACGCGATGGCTAGTAACGTATGCCGGCCACCTCCCAAGGCCCGCAATCATATCAACCTCAAGGCTGGCGGAATCTTGGCCCAGCTCGCTCTTCAGGGACGGCCGTAGCCCCAAGTGTGGCCGAACCACGCGCAGAGCCTCTTCTCGATGGTGGTAATGAAGTCGCCACGATACACGTCCCGCACGGCCCTCCCCGTTCCTTAATCCATGGTGCTGTAGCGCTGCACGATGGCCTCCGACACACGCCCGAATGGATATGACCAGCGTCCAGCCGCGACGTCTGCGAGGCTCACGCGCTTTCCTGCTGCGTTCTTCACGCGCGTGAAGTGTTGGTTCCACCCTGTGAGAGTGGAGGCTGATGAGGAGGGGGACCAAGAGTAACTCCACGACGTACCCGCAATGCGGCAATACATCCTCCCGTCCCAAATCACCTCTTCACAAGTCCTCACACGAACTCGCTGCCACTGCGCGAAGCGACCCCCTGGAAAAAGGAGTCCCTTGGGCCCGCAGTCAAGCGAGAACTGACAAGGGACTGCCCTGCATCAGTAGAAGCACAAGCAAGACCGACAACATGGGAACATACATTCAAATGGTGTACGGTGGGGGCACTCCATACGGAGCCATTGGATAAGGAAGCCAGTGTCTGCAAGCCAATGGAACTCCAATCGTGGATTGGCCATGGATATCACCACCGCCCATATCAAAGAAGGAACCCTCCAAGGTCTGCAGCCTCCTGGGCGAATTCCTTGTTTAATGTCCCCACCGTAACTAACGGCAGCTCCGCCTTCAGAAGGAACCGCCCACGCTCGTGTATCTGTTGCAAAAGATCCAGCGGCTGGTCATACAAACTTGATATGTCTCAAGCGAGAACCCCATGTTGAAAAGGAGCCGCCCTTCCATCCGTGCAACCGTTGTACGCTCCATGGCTCGACCAATATTTGTGTAAAGAAGTCTCAGGCGATAACACCACCTTGAAAAAGAAGCGCAATGCACCCATGTAACTGTTGTAGAGGTTTGGAGCGAGTCCGCGCGGCACCGCGGGCGAGCGTGCGCGCGCGCCGCAACGAGGGCCCCATTGCGAGAACAGCCCGCCCTCCATCCGTTTCACTGCCGTGTTGCGTGAAGACGAGGTGTACAACGCGTTAGAACGACAACCCCATTTTGAAAACACATCGTAACGCATCGCACGCCGTCCGTGCACATGTTGAGCTTTGGAATGCGAACGTGCGCGGCGCCACGTCTAAAACTCCATTCTGAGAACGGCCGCCCTCAATCCGTGTAGCTGTTTGACTTTTTCGCGCTTCAGCATCGTACACGGTGAGGACGTCTTGGGCGAAACGCCCGGCCTGCCCCAACAATACGTATGGTGGTGAGAAATCGCAGGAACTACTTAGAAGGACGAGGGATAGAGGGGAGAGGAGGGGGGAAGGAGGGGTGGGAGAACGCGGAGGATAGGAGGGAGGAACGATTAGCAAGGAGGAGGAGGAGCGTACTAAGATGAGGAGGAGGGGAAGGAAGGCTGAGGAGGAGGAGGAGGAGGAGGAGGAAGAAGACGATGGATGGAAACTCCTGGCGGCGGGGTGGGAGGATGACTACGACGAAGGCAGGGTGAAAACAAAAACGGGAAGAACTGGAGGGTGCATCGAGCGTCGCGCTCGTTCCAGAGCGTTCTGACTTGTATTGACGCTCTGGTGCGATGTTTGTTTATCCTGAGCCTGCCTGGCCTGGGCATCCAGCGTCTAGATTTCGAGACACGGCCACTCGAAAGTCTCGACACCTTCCGCTGGGCGGGCGGCTTTTATTCCCGAGTGTTTTCCCGACGGCCCCGAGGCCCAACAAGAGACCCGAGGGGGCCGAGAGCTGCCCAAACCATGTCTCCTTGTTTTCGGGGAGGCGTATGACTCGGGTTCGGGGACTCGCGTCGGCCTGACGGGGCCATCATGATCATGAAGAGACCCAATCAAAAAATTTGATGCGAGCTCCCGCTGCAAACATCCCACGACAACTGGACTGTCAACATCCAGGACGCGCTCAAGAAGCGTCGGCAAACACGAGCTCCAGCGTACTCAAATCTTACGTTTCCCCGATTTTTTCGCGACGCGAAAAGACCTGGCGAGGGCAGAGGCGGCGGCGTCGGCGGCGCGGGCGGCTGGCCATGGCCGGGAGCTTCTTGCTCATCGTGCTAACTATCTTGTGAGTGACCTGGCAGTAGGCTTAGGTCGGGCATATCCTCCTACAGGCGGATTCTGGACGACAGGTCAAACGCATTCAACACATATTCAAACTAGCAGGGAGATGCTAGAAACTTCGTCTCCAGACTCTGTTTTGGCTACTTTGGAATATTCCTCCTGCGGAGGAACATGCCCGACCTAACAGCAGGTCGGTGGGGGCTGCGGCCCTCTGCCGCGCGCAGCTCCTGCCCCTGCCCCTGCCCCAGCTCCCCGCTCCCTGCTCCTGCTACCGCGCCTGTTCCTTGCCCCTCTCTCCTGCTCCTCCTCCTCCTCCTCCTCCTCCTCCACCTCCTCCTCCTCCTCCTCCTCCCTCCTCCCCCCTCCTTCCTCCCTCCCTCCTCCCCCCCCTTCCTCCCTCCCTCCTCCTCCCCCATCCTCCTCCCTCCTCATCCTCCTCCCTCCTCCCTCCCCCACCCCTCGGCAGCAGGCTACTACTCCCCACCAGGGGGCGCCCCTCCACACCCATGCTCCCCAGGCCTCTCCCCTTTCAGGCGCGCGCTCGCCAGGACTCCGAGGCGAATCCATCGGCTTCGCGCAAGAATTCGGCGGCGAGCGAGGGGGGGAAACGAGAAGGGCCGGCCCTTCTCAGAAGGCTCAGAAATCCCACGGACCTCTGAGACATTCTCTGAGCTTTCCCAGAAGGCACGAAAAACCTTTCACAAGGCCAGAGGCCTTCTGAGAAGCCCCGCCGCCTTCTGATAATGGCTTCTCCTTCCCACTTCCCCTCCTCGCTCGGCGCCGGATGACCTTTGGCTATCGTCGCCTCATGCAATGCGACAGCAACGGCCCGTGTGCTTGAGTTTGCACCTCCCCCTCTGGCGACGAATCGCTCCCACGCGTAAGACAAGCTCGTGCCGTGACGACGTCGGCGTTGGTCTTTGACACCGCGCGGATCGCTCAACCTTGAACGATCGTGACTTTCAGCCAGGGCGGACCGTTTGATGCCAGCTGAGCCTGGGCCACTGGCGGCGCTCAACCTCGACCGCCCGCGCTGGGGTCGCCGCCGTGCCGACACAGCACGGCCCCACCGCAGCCGAGTCGAGCGGTGGCGACGAGGACCCCTAAGGGAGGCGCAGGGTGGCCGGAAACGAGGGAAGGGCCCTCGTGTCCTCGCCCTCGCCCCTGTCCTCGCCCTCGCCCTCGCCTCGCCCTCGCCCTCGTCCTCGCCCTCGCCCTCGTTCTCCTCTCCGATCGTCCTCGCCATCGCCCCTGCCTCGGCCGCCCCCGGGCCTCCGGGCGGAGCTCGCGGTCCAAATTGAAAAAAGCGAACAGCCAGCACTTCTGGCAGGGAGGGGCCCGCGCCTCGCCCTCTCGGGGCGCGGCGCTGGCACCCAGCTGGCCAATCCTCGCCCAGGGCGCCGCTGCGCGACGCTCCCCCCGCACTCCTCAGTCGCTGGTCTCTGCACTGGCTGGTGGAGCCTGGGGGGGCCCCCGCTCGAGCGGGGGCGCCCACCGACGTCTTACGCCCGTGGCCTGGGCGGAAGCTGAGCCGCTGGACTCGCGGGGGCCCGCAAGGTCAGGGGCCACTTGCTCATGGCGGCGGGCACCGCGAATCGAGCTTGGTCGTGCCTGACTTCGGCGGAGGGGTCCGGAGGGGTCGGCCTCCCCCTGTGCCTCGCCGCGCTGGAGCGCTCGCGCGTGAGGGCCCCCCTGGCGGCCGCCTTCTGCTCGCTGCGCCGCGCCGCTGCGCAAGCCTCATGCCGTGATTGCCGAGGTGCCGTGTCCACAGCTTGAGCGGGGTGCTGGACAGTGGGGCTCGGGGAGCCGCGGGGGAATGAGAAAAGCGGGTGTGATCGTGGAGCGCCCGCAAGCACAAAAAGCAGGGTGGTGGGAGGGGAGGGGCAGATGAGAGAGTGTGGGGGTGCCTGGCAAGCTCTTCTGGCCTTGCTGGCGCATGCCCCGAGGCTACTGGGCGATCCCTGTCCCTTAAGACCTCGACGGCGGATTCCTTGGGAGGGACTTGCGTGGTCCTCCTCCTTCTCCTCTTCCTCCTCCTCAAACCCTGACCGCTCTGCTGGCAGATACACAGGAAATACCTTGCACGGGGGGCGTGAAGGACGTGGGGCGAGGCGGGAGACGCACTATACCAGTTCATCCGGTGTGCTGACACGACACAATCCTGCGGGTGATCATCATGTGCTCGCTGCTCGTCGGCACCTTTTTCGGTCTGTGGTGGGCCCGCATCATATCCAGCTGCCTGCGGTCAATCCCGCCACCGTGCCAGCGCAGCCGCGCATCATGGATACCATTGAATTTAAGGGTTGGCTTACTCTCGGTGTCCTAGCTGAACTAGCGCAGGTCCTGACCGTCCTTCCCTGTCCGCAGACTCCTTGCCATCTTCCTTTTCTCCTTTCTCCTCTCCTCCGCCCCATCCTCTCTCTCTCTCTCTCTCTCTCTCTCTCTCCCCTGCCGTGCCCGGCGCGTGCGCTCGTGCACGTCGGGCACGCGCAGCCTGCTGAGGTCCTCGCGATCGCACCACTGCAATCTGGCCAGGGCCCCGGGCACAGCTGGGCCGTCTCGCTGCCCGAGCTGGCTCGGACTCCGCGCGGCGCTCTCCGTGCGCTCCGTGCAGCGGCCTCGCTCTCCCCCGAGGCGCGGCGGGGACGCTCCCGCGAGGCGTGGCCGGTCGGCGGACGGGCAACGTTGGGACCCAAGGAGTGTGGGTCCGTGGGTCCGTGTCTCGCCGTCGCTCGGACGTCCATCTCCCGTGCACGTTTCGGTCTCGTGCGTTTTTTTCTTTTTTTTTTTGTTTTGCTCGTGGGTCCAGGATGGTCCTCTCGATGGTTCTCGCCGAGAAAAAATAAGCACGCGTCCAAACGACGCCAGTGTGTGTGTGTGTGTGTCCCTCTGTCTGTCCCTCCCTGCCGCCCTCCTCCTGAAGGCACGTCCGAGGCTTCCTGGCGGCTGCTTCGGGTGTGTGTGTGTGTGCGTGTCGGTCTGTCTGTCCCTTCTTTCCGCCCTCCTCCGTCCTGAATGGCACGCCCGAGGCCTCCTGGTGGCTGCTCTTCGGGGCCTCGCGGGGCCTCTTGGAGCCGTCTGGGTGCCCGACGGGGCTGTCGGCGGCGCCTTGGGCGCGGAGGCTCTGCCGAGCTCTCCCCCGAAGGGCGGGTGTTGGGGGGCCGTCTCGGGGAGGTGCGCGCCGCTCGCGAGGAGTGACTGAAGGGGCCGTGGGACACACAAACAAATGCACACAACTAAAAAGAACCTATATTTTCCCATGTTTTCTGGGTTTTTGTCTTCCCCCCCACTTCCCATATTTTCCAATCTTTTCTGGGGAATCGACGATTAATTGTGTCTGTGTGTTTCTTTTCCTCCTGAGTAACATGCGTAACCTCGTTGCGCGGTGGTCACCCCTTGCGCGGCGTCGTTCGCCCAGTCCCCGATCTGCCCAGGCGCCAGCGCGACGAACATTTTTTTGTTTTGTTTCTTTTTTTTTGAGGGGGGGGGCTTGAGCTCCCTCTCGAACCAGCTTTGCGCTGAGCTCCTTGTCGAGACCAGCTCTGGGCTGGACCCCCGTGATTACCTCGTATTATGAATCGTATTATGAAGTAGGAGGAGGAGGAAGAGGAGGAGGAGGAGGAGGAGGAGGAGGAGGAGGAGGAGGAGGAGGGAGGAGGAGGGAGGAGGGAGGAGGGAGCAGGAAGGAGGGGAGGAGGGGAGGAGGGGAGGGAGGGGGTTACCAGCGTCCGCGCGCACGAGCCTGCGGGCAACCCACGGGTCTCCGCCCGCCCCTGGCCAGAGAGCAGCGAGCAAGCGCGCGACGAACATGCGATGCAGCTCGGCGTTTGCAGGCGCCCGGCATGTGCTCGCGCGGGTGGAGGAGGAGGAGGAGGAGGAAGAAGATGAGGAGGAGGAAGATGAGGAGGAGGAGGAGAAGGAGGAGGAGGAGGAGGAGGAGGAGTGCGCACCCCTCCCGCACGGCTCAGTGCTGTCGATTCGTTCGACTTGCCCTGACGCGCCTGCTGGTGCACCACCTGCTCATGTCGCCAACGAGGGGCTTTGCCTGCGCCCTGTCGGATCCGATAACGCTCCTCCAGCCCTCAAAAATGTTGCACAATGTTCTGTACATTTCCTGCTTCCTATCATGTCCGGCGGTTGTCCCAATCTTGCTGTCTCCAGTCGCGTCCGGCCCTTTGCCTTCGTCACCGTTGTGCGAGACTCGACGGGTCTAAAATCCGACGGACGCGGCGGCTGCAACAACAAGAAACGATTAGGGATCAATTAATTTTCCTACACACGTACCGTGATCTTTGCCCGAATGCTGATAACGATGGGGCTAGACAAAGACGGGAAAGCGGAGGCCACTGGCGACGTCACGTTCCCCTTGTGCGAAAAGCAACATCCATACACATCGCTCATTTCAAGCTCTGCTCGTTTCTGACACAGCTGGTCCCTGATTCTTCCTAGGGCAGATTCAGCAACCAAGACAAACAACAACCCATAATGGCAGGAAACGGGCCGCTCGGAATCAGTCGCTCCCTGGCTTACGTAGAATTTAGCGGGGCTTCAGTGAGCGCGCAGGGGAGGGGTGGGTGGGTGGGGGGCGGGAAGCAGAGTCGGAGTGAGAGGCGGAGGAAGAAAGACACTGGGATGAGAATGAGGAGGAGGATGATGATTGTTATGATTCAAAGGATGATGAGGAGGACGATTCAGATTATGATGATGACGCTGCTGCTGATGATGCTGAGGATGATGCTGAGGACAGGCTTGAGAACGAGGGGGATGATGACGATGATGCTGCTGCTGATGCTATTGACAATTAGGATGATGGCCCTGATTCTGATGACGATGATGATGCTGATGACGATGATGCTGATGTTGATGATGCGGATGCTGATGATAACGATGCGTATGATGATGCTGCCGATAATGAGGATGATGATGAAGATAACGATGAGAAGGATGCTGCTGGTGAATCTCATGCTGATGTCACTGATGTTGATGGTGATGGCGATGGCGGTGATGATGATGATAATGATGATGATGATGATGATGATGATGATGATGATGATGCTGAGGATGCTGTTGCTGATGATGATGCTGATGATGGTGCTGATGATGCTGATGATGATGCTGATGAGGATGACGATGATGACGATTAGGATGATGATGATGATGATGATGATGATGATGATGATGATGTTGATGATACTGATGGCGATGCTGGCGATGATGACGATGACGATGGCAATAACGATGATGATGCTGAATATGATGTTGAGGATGGTGACGATGCTGATGCTGATGATGATGAAGAAGATGATGCTGCAGCTGATACTGCATATGAGGATGATGCTGATGATAATGATGGCGATGATGGCGATACTGACGATGACGCTGACGATGATGATGATGCTGAATATGATGTTGTTGATGACGATGACGGTGACGATGATGATGCTGATGCTGATGGCGAATACTATGACGCTGCTGCTGATGCTGCTGCTGCTGATTATCATGATGATGACGATGCTGATGATGCTGATGATGATGACGAGGACGATGATACTGCTGCTGCTGCTTCTGCTGCTGCTTCTGCTGCTGATGAAGATGATGAAGATGATGAAGCTGATGAAGCTGATGATGATGAAGCTGATGATGATGATGATGATGATGATGATGATGATGATGATGATGATGATGATGATGATGATGATGATGATGATGATGATCGAGGTCTTGCGTGGATGCGATTATCGCAGACATTTGGGCCGCCCACGCGCGAACACGCATGTCACTGCAGAACAAGCCAGAGGTCTGCTCCCGCTTTCCGTTCCTGCTCCTGCCCATGCCCCGAGTGCTGGTGCTACTGCTGACGCTCTTGCTCTTGCTGCTACTGCTGCTCTTCCTCGTCGTCGTCCTCCTCCTCTTCCTCCTCTTTGTCCTTCTCGTCCTCCTGCTGATGTCATTCTTCATCCTTCTCCCCCTCCTCCTTCCCCTCATTATCTGTATCGTCCTGTTACTCGTCATCTTTTCCCTCCTCCTCCTCCACCTTTTCCTTTCTCTCCTCCTTCCTCCCTCGTGTTTCCCCGCACGGACGTTCGCGTTCTCGCCATCGCCCTTGCTGCAGGGGCCTTTGCTGCAGCAATCGAACCTCGCTCTCTCTGGGGGAGCTGATCCGGAGGGGGAGGTGAAACGAGGGTGGGCAGGGCAGGTGACAAGCGGAGAGGGGGAGCTATTTCGGGGGTGAGGGGAGGAGAGGGGATGGGAGAGGGGAGGTGAACAGAGGAAGGATGAGAGGGCGAGGAAGGGGGGGGGAGAGGGCAAAAGGGAGGAGCTCGGGAAGGGACGGGGCTGGGGAGCAGACAAAGCTGGTGAGGGGAGGGGGAAAAGGAAGGAGTTGGGGAGGGGAGGGGGATAATATTTTAATCACGCGGCATAGAGGCGCGCATTGTGCAATGCATGCAGGCAGCCCCTGCGAGCGGATGGCCATCGTAAGGCCTTTTACACGCCACACCATTGGACACCCTCAGGGTGCTGGAATGTGGATATGCGCGCGCGTGCTCTCGTGGATCTTCGCTGCCGCCGGCCGAGGCCTGGATGGAAACCAGCAGTGGAAGGAGGGGCCCCTGCAGGGGGAGGGAGGGAGGCGAACTCATCCCTGGGATCTGTGCCGAAGCGCAGGGCAAGCAGCGAGAGGCTCCGATGCCGCTGCGCTCGGCCCCGCTCGTGCTCGGGGGGGGGGGGGGGGGGGGCGGGCGCCACCGGCCAGGCAACGAACTGAAGCCGCAGCGCAAGGATAGGCACTGCAGCCTCGGAGATGTCTCCCCGAATGCAACGCTGTCCGACCAGCCACAACTGGGGGAGCTGTGGTCCTTACCCCCCCTGGGGGAACCCATCGCCTCGACGATCTCTCGAGAGGGGTGCCGAAATCGATGGGTCCCCCAGGGGGGTAGGGACCACAGCTCCCCCAGTTGTGGCTGGCCTGGCTGGTGTCCAGAGAGCAATCGGAACGCGAATCCATGCTGTCGTGCCTGGCCACATACATGGCTGCTGCGTCCCAGCCGCTTACATCCTGTTGCGGCCCAGCCGCGTACATCGATAGCCAGAAAAGCTCAATAACCCGATAGCGATTACATAACACATCTTTCACTTTGGGAGAGGCCCCCCCCATACAGCTCGAAGTGCAGGACCCACTGCAGGGGGATCCCCGTGGGTCATCCACTCATTTGATGTGATTTCGCTGGAGTCAACGGATGGAGCTTGGGGGATTTCGCTCTGGACATCTTTTTTCCTCGTTTGGCCCCTTGTCTGGCTTGGTTTGGCCGGGCACACCGCCTGAGACATCCTCAGAATTGGCCTGGTTTGGGCCCTGGCCTGGTTTGGGGCCGGTATCGACTGAGATGTCCTCGCAACTTGCCTGATTTGGCTCAACTTCCGTTGGGCCTCGCCTGACGCTTCCTGATCATGTGCCTGGTTTGGTTTTGTTCCGGTGCGGTTTCGCCCGAGGCGTGCGTACGTTTTTCTTGGTTTGGCCTCGTTTGGGCGCGGTTCCGAATGAGAGGTCCTCACGATTTGCCTGGTTTGGCCGCGAGTTCGTTTGAAACGTCCTCACACTCTGTTCGATTTGTTATGATTTGGGGGTGGTTTCGCCTGCAACGGCTTCATACTTTGCAAGGTTCGAAATGGTTCGGGCGGCATCTCGCTTGAGAGGTCGTCCACATGCTACGCGGCGCCGATTAAACGATGTAAGGGATGTGGTGCAAACTCGCGTCGCGGCAAGCGATGTGGTGCAACATACATATATATATATATATATATATATATAGATATATATGTGGTGGGTACTATTTGGTGTAAGCGGCGGGGTGCAAACCCACACCATCGCAAGCTATGCAGTGTCAGCTATGTGGTGCACAGTACGTGGTAGAAGCTATAGGGTGTAAGCCATGTGGTGCAAACACGCATCTCCTCGCCCTTTCTAATCAATAGCCTGCTGCAAGACGGCGTTGTCTCTGTCCAACGTTCGGAGACAGACCCCCCCGAAACTGTCGAGGGACAATAAGCGGCATAAACATGAACTTCCAGAGATACGCATGGATTTCTGAGATCCGCGCTGAACCCGTTTTATCTCTTGTTCTGCGATCAATGTCGTGTTGCGTTCGGCAGCGACGGATCCCACAGCGCACACGCCGATCATGCCCAGTTTTGATACTTCCTGCTCTTCGTTCTGCCAATCGCGCCTGACCCCCCAAGCGGCTACAAGCTGGCTTGGAAAACGGGGACCAGGTTTACAAATATCTGGCCCTCGAGATCCAGCCCTTACGCGAACAACTAGAAACGAGCAGTTCGTCATGTATCCGCAAGCTCGCCCGCTGCAGCGGTTCTTTTCGCAACGCTCCTGCAACATCTGCCAACTGTGAGGCTTGCCCAGGCCGCGAGTCGCTCTTTTGCACGTTCGGTCGCGGCTCTTCACACCTTTTCGAAGATAGGTGTAGAAGCGATCAGGCGGATGCCGTTTGACACTGAACATGTAAAGACGATGCGTGTGTGACCACTGTATATACGGCTACTTCTGGAAACCCTGATCCCAAAAACATTGCCATCTCTTGGGGGGCAACTTTTCACTTCAACTGGCTTCCGCTGGCGGAAGCGCCCTCGCTTTGCTTCCGCCGTCTTCCGCCGACCTTCCACCGCATGTCTGCACGCGCACCCACCCCCCTCGCGGAGAAAGGGGGGAGGTGAGGGTCGCTCTTTTCCTCGAGCAACAAAGGGCTGCAGGATTTCCTGGATCCTCCAGGACAGTCTAGATTATATTTTATATAATCATATATCTATGTGAAACTACAAACTTCCTAGCACCTCTCCTTGGGCGCTGGAAGCGGCTCGGCCTCCAGCCAAGAAAAGTGAGCCACAGGGAAGCCTCTTTGTGCTCCCTGGGCAGGCGTCGCAACGGCGCTGGCCCCCTAAACCCATCGCGGGGCTACCCGCTGAGGGCAGGCGCGGGGCAAACCGCAGCCTGTAAAACAAAGCTCACCCTCGGCCGTCGTAGTGCTTCCTGCGACCATTCTCCTAGCCCTCTCCGTGGATCACCTGAGAGCCTCTGGAACGGTCTCGGCACTCGCCCTTGAACGTCTCGATCCACTTCTGCGCAGCCTCTGGACTGCTGATGTCCTGCAAGCTAAGCTTGGCAAGAGGTCCATGCGCTGTAGCCATCACCCGCAGCTGCTCGATCTCCTTGGCCTGGCGATCCGACAGAACACCTCCGTGCTTGATCATCCTCGTGACCAGGTCTTCTTTGATCCCTGACACGGCCAGGCTCTTGGCCTTCAAGACAGCTCGCAGCTCAGCCACAAGAAACGTGTTTAAGAGCTTGTGCCTTGCACCTTTGTCCTGCTGTGCACACACGGTCTTGAACTCGACGTCAGCCCGCGCAGATGGTGGGCAAGTGCTTCCAGAGGCGGGGCTAACCGCACCCTGGAGGAAGAACTTGTCGTAGAAGTTCTTGAAGTAGCAACCACACCAGCACCCCAATAAGAAAGTACTCGCTGCAGTCACCATAACAAGTCCCAACATCAAGTAGAACCTGAACTCCTCGCTCTCCACATAGTGGCTGACAGGCGCGGGGCAAACCGCAACCTCGTCAGATCCTCCGTACACTGTCACCTTCTCGCCTGACGCCTTCGTCACGACCTCCGTGAAAACTGCCATTGCGCTCAAGCCCGTCATCTGCTTTCCGAACCTGAGGTTGAGAGTGGTGCAATGCTTCTCGATTGTCGGCCACTCGCTGTACTTCGTGAGCATGTCGGCTGTCATCTTGCTGGTGTCCTCCTTGTGAAGCTCGAACGCCTTGAGACGCAACCGCTCCTGAATCCACAAGTACCTCAGCTCCAGATGCCTGACCTTGCCCACCCCAACTCGGCTGCACATGCCACGTCCAGCTGTGCTGTCACTATAGATCTTCAGGTTGCAGGGCCTCTGGGTCTCGATCAGGTAAGTCTTACACTGAAGTCCTCTGGCTGTCGCACTTCCCGTAGCATACATCTCGGATTCCCCTGAACTTAGGGCTATCGTACTCTGCGTCACTGAGTAGCAGTCCCAAGTGTGGTCGCCATACCTCACAGCTCCTCCACTGGTAGATCGCCGCTGTAGTTCACTCGTAGGTGCCCAATCCGCATCACCATCTACACGAATGCCTTCAGGAGTACCTTGAAGTGGGTAACACCAGACCAAAACAGGCTGTCCTTCGTAGTACCTTCCAAGTCGCTGAACACGCGCATGCATCAAGACGTTCGGGTTGGAGACGTGCTGCATCGCTGTCTTGCTGGCGTACATCGTGTCGGGCCTGTCCGAAGAAAGGTAAAGAGCGGTGCCTGCTGCACCCGCCACTTCTCGAGCACGATCCTTGGAAAGAAGGTCTAGGCTGTCTCGTCGGCCTTGTCCTGTAGCTTTCGTTCCTGGAGTAGGAGCTGGTTTACAACCTCGCTTCTGCGTCCACTTGATCATGAAGTCCACATGCTTGGGATCGGCAGTCCAGAAGAAACCTGGCTCCTCGCAACCTGGCAACTTGTCGGTGTAGCCGATCGTCCTCTTGAGGTATGTAGTCTGCCCCACCGCTCCTGGTCCAAGTCTGGCGCTGGCCGTGACCTCAAACTGCTGCTTCAACAACTCGTCCAGCTCGTCCAGCTGCTCGTCGTAGCCTTCAGCAAGAAAGTCATCGCCATGGCAGATCGCTGTGCTATCCTCGTCGAAGGGGGCTGTGTTGGGGCTAGCAGGTAAGTAGAACACGTTAGGAGTTCCAACCAAGCATTCCCAATGGCCGTCGTCCATAGTAGTTCTCACAAGCTCACCCCACATCTGCGACGCCTTCCTGGTACCGTTCATGGCCTTGCGTAACCACCAGCACCTTCCAGGCGGACACAGCTCTCTCCCAGGATGCACGTAGATCGTCTCGTCTAAGTCAGCGTTGAAGAAAGCCTTCCTGACGTCCCAGACTTGTATCTTCCGCAGGTGCTGCCCGCTGGAAGTTGGACTTGAAGCGGCACGGCTCAGCGTCGCTCTGACAATCATGAGCGGGGGCGTGCCTTGGTGGTTGTCCTCCCTGACCTCGTACTTGTTCACCTCGGTTGCTACGAACCTCCACCTGACCTTTCCTTCTTTCATGTGGGCTATCGGGAAACCTCCAATGTGCTTGCCGTCAGTCGCCGTCGATGTCGCCACTTCCACGTAGACCCCGTAGTCTTTCATGGCCTGCAGCTCGTCGTCGCGACCCTTCTGATACAGGTCCTCATCCAGAGGCTCTCCAGTATAGTAATCGTAGTGTATCGTCTTTGGGCTCCACTGGTCTTTCTCATGCAGCTCGGCGCTCACCTCAACCATCTGCTCCACCTGCTGATCCTCAGGATCTCCGAAGTGGCTCCTGATTGTGCCGATGTGGCTCATCAAACATCTCCTGCATGCACACTCAGCTTGGTGGCATTCTCGTAGCTGGCATCGTGACGAGTGCTTCTCACACCTCTCGGAACATCTCGCACTGCGCTTTGGGTGTGGATCCCACATGGGGTCGAAGCTCTCGTCGTAGCCCTCCTCGCAGACTGCCAACTCACAGACAGAGAGATGCCCAATGCTTGCTACCCTGGGCTTCTTGACCTCAGCTCCTTCACGAACTTCACCTGGGGCACTTCGCCGAAAGTCGCTCCTGAGCTCGCCACTCTCCGTGTCCATGGCTGTCTGCACCTCAGCCTCTCCTGGGCCAGGGACCATAGCTACGTCGCTGGCAGCAGGTGCGGGGCTCACCGCAACCTCACTGCTGCTTGATGCCGCTGCTCCTCCTGGTGCGGCTCCAGGCGCGGGGCTACCCGCAGCCGGTGCTGGCACCACGACTGTAGCCTCAGGGGCCACAGGGTCCTTTGCCAACTTCTCGCGCAGCAAGTCGGCCTGAATGGTCTCGAAACGCTGTCGGCAGGCTGCCGAATGCGAACCGTATCCTGTACTGCACTTCCTGCACTCGTCAGTAGGACCATGAGCATCGATCATGCGCTCCGTGATGTACATGCTGCGTCCGATCGTTCCTGAACTCTTGTCGGGCGTCTGCTTCCAGGGCGTCACCCTGATGTGCTGGATGAGCTCGGGCTGCCATCTGAACTCCTCAGGCATCCTTCGCACCGTTCTGACCTTCTGCACTCCACGTTCAGGATCGATCACGAGATGTGTATCGTCCAGCTCACTCTTACCAACCCAGATTCCTTTTGCGAAGCGGGCTTCCCATTTGCCACGTCCCGCGGCAACTCTGGCTGAGATCCGATACCAGACCTGCTCACCCATCTCCGCAATCTCGCCGTTGTACTCTTTGCCGTAGAGCATCTTGTAGGAGGAACCTCCGTGACTGCGAGGCTGGAATCTGGTAATCATCCACCCCACTGAGTTCACAAGCCATGGCACGATCGGATCCGTCATCTTGATCTCACAGCCCAGCTTGTGCTCCAGCTTCAGCTTGTAGGCTCGAAGTAGACCAGCTGCTAGCTTGTTAGCTCCTTCAGCGTAGCCTGCACTTTGCTTGGAAAAGGGCGGTGATCCCCGCACCAAGGTTGAGTGTGATCTGCGATCTCGAACTGCCTGCGCCAGAGCCATGGTGGCAGGCTCCTGGTCTGTCTGAAGTATGACTGTTGTGTGGCCCCAAGCTTCCAGCACGCCTAGCAGGAAGGACACCTTGTAGTCATCCGTCTCCTTGTTCGCGTACAACGTCGCCTGAGCCAAGATCTTACAGTCGATAACATTCAAGACAGAGACCGCTTGGTCTAGCTCGGCCTTCGTGACCGACATCTTCTCCCTGATGCTGAAGTAACCTCCTTTAAGCTTGTACTTCGCAGCCAGCTGGTCCGTCCCTACGTAAAAGATGTCGAACATGACCTTCGGGATCTTGTTCTCATCAGCTGGTTCCTGAGCGTGGTGTGGGTCATCGTCTGCTCGAGCCTGCACGCAGATGGGACACCAAGGCCGAAAAGGTAGATGATGCCCTTCGTGCGCGGCTCTCTCCGCAGCACTAGGTTGGTGAGGAGTCTTCAACACTCTCGTTGGCACAGTTGTGGTCTCATCAGCTTCAGGACCTAGAACCTTCGGCAAAGATCCAGCTTCCTGTTCAGCTGGTACCTTCCTCGGTAGCGTCTTTCGGACCGCAGCTACCTTTGAAGCTTCTGGTTGAGTCTGGCCGTCGATGATGTGATCGTACTCTAAGTAGTAGTTGCCTTGGTGACGCCGTAGAGGTACGAACTCAGCTCCGTCAGGTGGCTCGACGGTACCGTTGATGATCCAGTGACCTGCAGGGCTATGAAGAACACTCTGACCACGTTGTACTACAGCATCTGTAGCCACAACTGGGTACTCCACATCGGCAACCTCTGCACCGACTTGAATAACCTCTCCTCCTCGGGATAGGTTCAGCTCCACGTGGCCGTACCTCTCGATCTCCTCGCCTCCTATGCCCTTCAAGCCGACAACGTTGCTGTCCGTCGGCGTGTAGTTATGCTTGGTCACCTGTGATCTCGGTATCGCACTGATCTGCGCACCTGAGTCGAGCATGATCGCATTCCGAAGCGGGGCTAACCGCAATCGGTCATCTGCAGGGCTCTGATCTTCATCCACGGGCCGAAGACCAGCGACGGTGACATGCCTGGGGCCGGCCAGCGCGGGGCTCACCGCAGCTGGCACATCGCAGCACTTACTGATAGTCTTTCTTGTGCTTCTTTGGTCTTGGCTTCTCGTTGTCGTCTGGCTCTTCCTCGTCCTTGAACCAGTTGTCCAGGCAGTACTCGGCACACGCGGCACAATAGTCCAGCTTCCACTGATCGAAGTGCCATCGCCATCCTTCAAAGGTCTTCTTGCAAGAGCAGCAGACATATTGGTGGTAGCTAGGCAAGCAGTACTTCCAGTCGATCGTGTGGCTGCGCTTCTTGAGACCTCTGCCCTCAGGGCCAGAATCATCTTCGCTTGCAGCGCGCAGTTGACTGGGCGCAGCACCTGCTGAGTCATCGCGCTGTCGGCGCTTCCTTGACTTCCCAACATCTGTTGTGTAGGTGCTGTCGAACTTGTTCCTGTGCCCACTCCTGCCTGTCGTAACCTTTCGAGCTCCCTGACTGCCGCTGCCCCGATCTTCTTCTTTTCTTTTCCCTTCTCTTTTCGGAGCTGCTTCTTGTCCTTCTTGTCCTTCTCGGATGTATTCTTCTCGTCGGCGATCCGCTTTCGGCAGTTTGCGCTGCGGTGGCCCTTCTTGTGACAGTAGTGGCACTCGATCTCGGCGTCGGGATTCGGTGGCCTCTCCTTGCCCTTGCCGTCTTTCCCTTTGCCGCGGCCTTTCCACGGTCTCTTTCCGCCCTTCAGCGCGCCTATCTCCATCGGGTCGTCCTGAACCGCTCGCTCTGCCATCAACGCCGACACCACCTCGGCTCTCAGGAGCTCGTACGTACTTAGCCGACTGCTGTTCCGAAACACGTGCTTCTGCAGCTCGTCGTGATCCTTCAGCGCCTTTGTAAGGATGCCTCGCTTGATCAGGTCCGAGACTGGTTCTCCTGCCATCTTCTGGTACCTTGTCATGTCCTCGTCCAGCTTGCTGATGCTCACCATCACGTCTTCTTTGGCGTCGAACTTCGTGTCCGTGAGCTTGGTCCACATCGCCAGCACGTTTCCTGCCTCGCTCGGGTTGTACTCCTTCTGAAGTTTCCTCCAACACTCGGCTCCTTCTCCTACTGGGCTGTTCCTCACGATCAGCTCGCCTACTGAGTCCTCGGGCATCGCCAGGACCAGGCCGTAGTACAACTGCGTGCTTAGCTCTTCCTCCTGCGCGTCCAGGTTGACGTTGTCCACCTCCTGGGCTCCGTCCTCGCACCTTTCCAGAAGATCTCGGTACCTTCGATCCTGGGCGATCAGGTACGCTCTGTACTGGAAACTGAACGTCTTCCAACTCGCCCTGTGGCCGTCGAACGGCTTCACCTTGTGAAGAATCTTCGGATCCATCATCTCGCCGCGCGGGGCTACCCGCTGCTGCTGAGCCTGTTGCTGAGCTTGAAGCTGACCTCGCATCTCTGCGATCGTCACGTCTCTGTTCTGAAGTTCCTGTCTCATGTTCTGACTCTCCGTCGTCAGCCTCTGAACTTGATCGACCAGTTGCTGCAGCTGCTGCTCCATCTTGATAGTCTAGCACGTCGCTGACACGCTTCCCTATCCTCTCGATGTCGCTTCTCAGCTGCCTCGTCACCGCTGCTCGCTCCTCCTGCGTGAGCTGCGCTCTGCTGCCGCACGCCTTGAGCTTCCTAAAGGCGGTCCCTCGGAGCTCGCGGTGCTGACGCGTGTCCGCCGACCTGCCTCCTCGCTTGTTCGGCTTCTTGGCCTTCTCCGTGGCTGCTTGGCCTCCACTGTCAGAGCGCGGGTCTGACCGCAGCTCTGACTAGCAAGGGGTCCTCTCGGCGCTCGCGTGGATCGGCCCGCCAGCTGCTGAGGGGCTCCTTGAGCTCGCCGGGGTGCGGAGCGGCCCGCGATCCTCAAGCGAGCTCCGCTACCATGCACGCGCACCCACCCCCCTCGCGGAGAAAGGGGGGAGGTGAGGGTCGCTCTTTTCCTCGAGCAACAAAGGGCTGCAGGATTTCCTGGATCCTCCAGGACAGTCTAGATTATATTTTATATAATCATATATCTATGTGAAACTACAAACTTCCTAGCAATGTCGCCGGGGAAGAGATGCCAACTCCTTCGACCCTCTAAGAAGAGGCCCCTTCTGGAACGCCAGGTAAGACGACTGAGGACTAAACACGTACTAGAACGACGACCCATACTTCCGGATGCAATTGGCAGCGCGCGGCGTGCATCACTGGGCTTGGCTCGGCCGCAGTAGACCCACACGTTGCAACACAGACGCATTGCTTACGCACATCTGGTGTAACACGACCAAGAGAATTGCCACATGCGCGGACGCTTTACACCATGCACGCGCGCGAGCAACTCCCGCCTTCTCCAATGACACCTATCAGCGTATGAATGAATCAGCCAGCGCTTGGGAGTTTTGTGGAACTGAAAATGCCATGGGTGGGGCAATCGTATGAATTGGGCGCCTCGCGTGCTCATAGGACGTGCTTACGTACCCGATCCTGTGTCGCACGCATCTTAATGGGGGGCATTTTGCCTCTTGCAGGTGCACTTGTTGCGTCGGCCTATGCGCCGTCGTAACCAATTATCTCGCCCTGTGCCCCAGCCGCGCCCGCCCCGCTTCTCGGACCTGTCCCTGGAGCCGTCCATCAAAAAAAGCTCATAGGACATGCAAACTACCACCAGCTCTTGGGGCGTAGGTGGTCTAATGGTATCTGTTCTTTCCTCTTCCAAGACCCTCTTTCCTTCGGGGGGGGTGCCCTTCCCCTCTCCCCTCCCTGGAGTTTTTCTTCGGGGGCGTCGCGCGCGGTGAGGGCGCCAAAGGTGGCTCCACGAGGGTGCCCGATGCTGCACCATGGCCTCCAAGCTGGCGCAAGAGAACAGAAGATGGCTCAAGACGGCTCTCAACATGCCTCCAAGAGGCCCCAGCGACCGTTTCGAGGTGGCCCTGAGTGCTCTCGGAGCCCCCTTCCCGACCCCCCGAGAAGCCCAAACCCTTCCAACGCTGGAGGAAACACGATGCTGTGTGCCTTCTCGCCTTTTCGCTGCCGATGGGTCTCTGAGGCCTCAAGATGGCCCAAGGGAGCCCCGCAAAAGAGCTCAAGCGGCCCCCAACACGGCCCTAAGAGCGCCCAAGAGCGGCCCAAGCGCTCCCCAAGAGGTGATGCTGATTTTCCTAGGGTGGGAGGTACATCTAGGACCCACCCCTCCTTGGATCGACGCTCTACAAGATGGCCCCAAGAGGCCTTACAAGCCCCTGGCCCCTAAGAGGGCCCCAAAAGAGTCCCCACAAAGGGCCTAAAGACAACCTAACAGAGCCATATGTGGACCCCAGGGCCTTCAAACGGAGCCCCAAGAGGGCCCCACGAAGACCCAAACAAAACCCCAAGAGGACCCCGATAGTGCCCCAAGAAGACCCCCCAAAAATGGCTCAACGAATTCTTGTCTTCGTTGTCCTTCGCCTCCTCCTCTTCGTTTCTTCATCCTCGTCCTTAATTTCCTCGTCATCATCCTCGTCCTCGTCTTCGTCGTCATCATCTTCCTCGTCGTCGTCGTCGTCTTCCTCCTCCTACTTGTCCTCGTCCCCGTCCTCGTTCTTGCCCTCGTCGTCCTCCTCCTCCTGCTCCGCCTCCTCGTCCTGTGGTGTCAGAGGGTCCTTTTTCTCCCACGGTGGCTCCAAGAAAACCTCCGATGCACCAAAACTGCCTCCAAAATGGCTCAAGACCGTCCTCCAATTGCCCGCTTTGTGTTTCACTACATGTGTCTCTTCCTACCGTTTCCCGTCAACTCTTATCGGCAAACAACTCAGACTGGGCTAGTGGGTGTATGCGAAACGTGAAACATTTGATGATTACCTGTGGTAGCTTAGCTGTGCCGTGCCACCTTTGCAGGCGTAGTAGCCACAAGCCTGCTGAAACTCAGTGCGGTGCCGAGAATCGGCACCTCACTCTGGCATACACTTTGCAAACGCAGCGCGCTGATGTTCTGTTGCCAAGACGGAACGGGGGTCTCGCTCTTGATGAATCTGTCCGTCATGTGCAGTCGGGTTTGATGTCGGGCTGGGCGGTGCTGGCGGACGGGCGGGCAATGTGGGGTGCCGTCGTCATCGTCGTCGTCGTGGTCGTCTTTGCCGTCGCCTTTCGCCGGCTGCGAATGAGAGGGCGGCCTAACCGATCCCTAAAAAACCATCGCCTTCCGTGACGTCACCCTCGCCTTTCAAGCTTCCCTCCGGCCGCATACACACGTCTTGGGGCGAGGCGAGGGGGACGTCAAGGAGGGGGATGGTTTGCCAGAGGTCGGCGGCCAGGCCGTCCCTGAGAATAAGGGGGCGGGCAAGTTCGAACTCCGCCCCCCCTTGCGCCCGAGGGGAGGGGGGTCGTAACCCCTCCTCCCCCCCCTCTTGCCTGGGGAGGGGAGGTTCAGACCCCGCCCCTCTGCTTACGCGCACGCGAGAGAAATCATAATACCATGCGGGCCACGCGCGCGCGCGTCTCCGCGAGCGCGCGTCGAGATCCTTCCAAGCCGTTGGTTTTCCAGGCGTTTCAGCACAGCTGTGTTCGGTCACGCATGAAAGCCCAGTGGCTTCCAAGTGCAAGTGCGTCAGACTTGGGAATTTCTGCGCGCGCACTTCCTCAACGTTCTCATCAACACCTTCATTTCCATCATCGCCGGCGTCATCATGTTAACCATCACCGCCATCATCCTCATCACCAACACTATCGTCGTCCTCGTCGTCGCCGACATCCGCACCGTCGTCATAAACAACACCGTCATCGTTATCATTGTCGTCCTCGTCGTCAGCGCCATCATAACCATCATCATCAGCAGCACTCGCCCGCCCGAGTCATGAATCTGTGCGAGAAGAGTCCCCGCATCATTCTACGACTGCGTTTTTGCCAACGAGTTGCGCGTGGGTGGCTGGAATCTTTGCTCGAACATTGGAATTGATGACGGGCATTGGAGTCCACGACTACGCTTTCTTCATAAATAGTTGCGCCACAGAGGTTTCACTGCATATGTTGCACCTGTCAAGTTGTATCCACAGCTTGCACCGCATAACTTGCGCTACATGTGCTGCATCCCGTACATACACAATCATATATATATGTATACGTATTTAATAGCTATATATATGTATATATATTTTTATATATATGTATATGTATATATACATATATATATATATATCTAGAATTGAATGTGCGTATGCGAGAGAAATATCGTTTCTAAACCATGTCTAGATTCTAACCGCCTTCCGAACCTGGACTTATCCGGCCACCTTTTCGTATAGCAATTCGCATATGACTCTGCCTCATGGTTCATTCCGTACGAACTCATGTCATCCCAACCCAGCGCGTGACGACTCCATCCCCCTCCGCCATCCCTGCGGAAAAAACTATGCGGTGCACGTGCGTTCATCGAAATATTGATGACGCTAAGGATCCGTTGCGGAACATGCGTTGCAGGGCCCATGCGCACGCCGCCGCGTATGCACGTCCGACTCCGGCAGCAACTTGTTTCAAAATTACATGTTCAAGACATGGCTAATCAGAAGCTACCAAACTATTTTTTCAACTCGTGAGCTCGTGAGCTCGTCAGAACTCTCTGCGCGCGCTCTCGCTGAATCTGAAGAAAACCATCGAACTCATGCCACTCTGTCAAATCAAACGTGCGGGCCACTTGCGCGCGCATGTCGAATACGTTCGACCACTATCGCGCGCCCACCAAGTCTGTCAAACAATACAATGCGAGCCACACGGGCGCGTCCGCCGCGCGCGCTCGTCAAAATCCGCCGCCCCCTGTTGATTCATCACAGGGGTGCCTGGCGTGCTGAACCCTCTCGGTTTTGGTTTTGGTTCTTTTTCCAAAAGAACTCCCCCTGAGGCTCCGGCGCGTCCCGCCGGGGTCCCGGAAGGATCTTCCAGACCCGGTTCCAAAGGGATTTTCCTGCTCCAGACGGCTCCAGACGGCTCCAAGACGGCCCAAGATGGCCTCCAGGACGGCTAAGATGGCCCCAAGATGCGTCCAAAACGGCCCCAGATGCACCCAAGACGGCCGCAGATGGCCTCAAGATGACCCAAGACGGCCCAAGAGGCCCCCAAGAGGCCTCCAAGACAGCCCAAGAGGCTTCCAAGAGGTCCTCCAGGAGGGCCCGAAAAGGCCCAACATCATTGATTTTCCAACAATTTTTTTCAGGATTTTGGCATTTGCTTCTTTTCGGCCTTCCGACGGCTCAAGACGGCCCAAGAGGCCCCCACGATCGCCCCAAGATCGCCCACGAGGCCTCCAAGATGGCCGCATGACGGCCCAAGAGGCCCCCAAGGCGGCCCCAAGAGGGCCCCAAGACGTCCCAAGAGGCCTCCAAGACGCCCAAGATGGTCTCCAGGACGGCTAAGATGGCCCCAAGATGCCTCCAACACGGCCCAAAATGCACCCAAGACGGCCTGAGATGGCCCCCAGATGGCCTACGACGGCCCAAGAGGCTCCCAAGAGGCCTCCAAAACAGCCCAAGAGGCCTCCAAGAGGTCCTCCAGGAGGGCCCGAAGAGGCCAACATTATTGATTTTCCTTAAGTTCCCTACCTAGGCTCTGCCTAGAAGGGTTCTTACTCTCTTAGCTTAAAGGGGCGGGCAGTGGAAATCGCCCCGGGCGGTTCCCCCAGTCCCCGCCCCGCGGTTCCCCCAGTCGCGCCCCCTTAGCTTGGCTTAGCTTATCTCGTCTTAGCTTAGCTTGGCTTAGCTTAGCTTGGCTTAGCTTAGCTTAGCTTGG